CGAGTTCTTAAACATCTATGATTGGTCATGATGTTCCCGCACTTAACAGAAAGGGCTGCGAAGCCTGCGATTGGCTCTAACGGTCAGCTCTGGTGTTATTCACCAATGAGTAACACAGATACAGATAAACGGCCACTGTTACAGTTTATATGCGCATAATGGGTGGTTCTCACAGCTGATCCATGATAGACGCGGTGAAGAAAACTTGCTTTGCAGACACATTTGTGTGTGTGCGTGTGCGTGTGTTTGTGTGTGTGTGTGGATAAACAAGAATCGCTGTAACAGAAAGAAGCAGAGCAGAGTTCACAGCTTTCATTTCATCACCATAGGATGATGAATTAATCTTTTTTTACTGAAATACTTGATTAACTTGTTTATCGTGACAACCGATATGTATAATATAACCATATGTATTTGTTTATTATTGCTTATTTCTTTTATCTATATGTATGTTTTGTATTTTGTTTATTGTCATTGCTTTGGCAACATTGTGCTTTATTTCACAGTCATGCCATTGAAGCTGACCTTGAACTTGAAATAGGGGCTTGTGGTTTCTGCTGTAACAGTAGTCTGCATGCTAAGTAATGTTAGTTGGATTGTTTTCACTTCTCAGGCTCGCCCCCCTTGCCATAGTAATAATCAAAATAATCGCAGCTTTTGATTTGAAAATGGCACCTCAAAATGCGATTTTGGTTTAAAATGTATTAATTGTGCACGCCTATTTGACCCTGACAAAATTAGCATCAAACAAATCACCTTCAAGGTCAATAATTTCACCCTTCCGAAACTTTAGCAACCAAAACTGACGATTAATTTCAGCTAATGTTTTTTTTTTTTCTGTTTTTTCAGTTTCGTGTGTGATTTCAATAAATTGTGATTTCAATAAATAGTTGTGAGACAAAGAAACACTAAAGTTGTTAGTTATAATCACCAACAAATTCATAGGTTTTGTATAACACAATCATGACAGAATATGATTTAAAAAGGAATCCATGTCTTTAATCAGGTACTTTGATTTCCTTAGATCGCAAAAGCCCTAACTGTAAACAGCGGTGCAGTAAGGGGTAAAAAGGATCTGAACAGTGTACAGTGACGATGTTATATAAAAGTCTAACAGGTGTTTGAGGGTTGACTTTGAGTTGGGGGAGGTAGTGCTCTGTCAGTGTGTGTGTGTGTGTGTGTGTGTGTGTGTGTGTGTGTCTGTGTCTGTGTGTGTGTGTGTTTATGAAGAATCGATTGGCCCAGAGCGCTAGCGACGAGGCTGCGTCAGCCGGCCGTGTATTTAAGCAAGGGGCCAACTCTTCCACTGCAGCACTTTTTTATCAGAGTGCCGAGTCCCACACACAGGCAGGCAGCACATACAGGACTCCGCAGAATGAGCTCCGGCAGCCTGTGTTTGCTCTTTGACCTGCTCATACAGACTTTAGCACCACAAAGTGCCCAATTAGGATAACCATACGCCCAAAACCTATCACCAAAACGGCTTATCGACGAGAACATCAACCTGAACATCATGGCGTGTCAAGTCCTTCTCCACAGGTAAAATCTCAAGAAATTCAATGAGAAAAAAATATGTTTCCGGAGAGGCTGTTGTTCAGGGTGAAACACTTAAGGTGGATCGATTCGTTCCTGTTGTTTATTGTCTTGTTTATGTCCTGCATGTGACATCCTGATGAGTCTTCTCGATGCCTTTCAGATCGCATGACAGAGCGCCTAAAAACTGCTGATGAGTTAAAACGTGATTATTTGATATGGAAACTGAGGCAGAATAGTAAATTTGAGGAATCACTGCATGACACAGCATTTATTTCACTCACAATTACATTGGAGTGTGTATGTGTGGGAGGGATGAATGAAAAGAGTGCTGCGTATGTGTGTGTTTTGGCCACTTGCTGATAAGATAAAGTGCCGAGTCAGAGGAAGTCGTCTGTCTGTAATCTTCCTAAACCCTTGGCTGATCTCATAGTGAAACAGCATATTACCTTTAATTCTGTCCATCACACTCTTTATATTTGTGTGCTTCATTCACACTTCAGTCTTGTGGGAGTTTGTTAAGACACTTATTATTTATCAATGCGATTTTTGTTTTCCCTTCCTTCAGAGCTGTGTGGGTTTGTCAGCACAAAATGTTAGTATAAAGGAACAAAAAGATATTACTTTTATTTACAGCTAACATTAGCATATATTTTTTTTCATTAAAGCAGTGAGATGGTGAGGGTTTTTCACAGGCATTCTGAAAAAGAAAGCACTCTTGAGATTTATTCAACTGATTTTCATCAACATATGACCAGTTCTTTTGCATGACTAAGTGTGATTGGATCTCTATCCAATCTGGAAACCCACTGGAAAAGTGACATTCATGAAGGATTCTGATGTTTTTGTGTGGCATTTTCAATTGCTACATGGGATTGTGGTTCTTTTTTCCTCAGTAAAACCGTTAGATGTACAGTAGTGTACCTTTTTGTTTTGTTTATTTAGTTTTTGCCTCATTTTCACATACTTATTTGCTTCTAACCAAAATTTGTCATGTTGTGATCAGCATAGCCGGTTGTTTTTTTAAATCTTTTAATGAATAGGGAAAAACAGCACTACTGGAATTGTAGACCAGCACTAATGCACTATATTAGAAGTTGTTTGACTATTGAATGTTGGAACCAAGGAGTATGTTTACATGGCCACCAGTAATTATAATGTGATTAAGACAATACTCTAATTAAGAGTCTACCTGGTCAACAGTGATTTTTGATGACTTTAATCTAAATAAAGTCATAATCGAGCTAAACAGAAATGAAATTGACGTGGAGTATGGTGATTTTAGTCATAATATTGAAGTGCAGTACAGACATCTTAAACTATTACCATTTTTGTCACAATTTCGACAGGATCTACACACGCGGCTCATTGACACTATTCTCTGCACCTACTGATTCATTGAAGGACCACAGACACACACAATGCAAAATGCAGAGGTTTTTTCCACTATGCGGCATGTGGTATCAAATTCCATTGATAAAAACAACACTCAGTAGTTCATACTCGCATCCAATATCTTATTTGTCTCGGGGGGCATGCTTGAAATGTTCCTAAGTGAAAGTAAAGGTGCCAAACTACAGTTAAAGTCGACAAACTAATAATGAAATATCCAAAATGACATGAAACTCCAGAGGAAATGTGCATAGAGTTGTGAAACAATGACGTTAATTGAATTATGTGCTATAACATCTAAAACGGGATCATGGAAGGAACATTTAAAAAGCAACTCGTGTAAACACCTTAATCATATTATTGTCTTATTCAGATTAAGGCAAATAATTTGATTAATGATGTTCATGTAAACGTAGTTATTCTCTATAATGTTTTGATGCTTGATATCTTCTTTGATTTAATCTTACTTTCAAATAAACATTAGACAGATTAATGTCAATCATTGAGCATAAAATGTATATCCTTATTTATTATCAACCTAACAATCTCTACCAGTCTTAAGTTTTGATTTGCTTCTCAGACTGAATCACTGACATCAGAGATCAGGTGATATCTTAAAGGGGATATGAATGGAAAATGTTACAGAAGGTTCTTTATTAGAGTGTTTCGTGCTGAGTAATGCACGGTCAGTGTGGACGCATTACTGTAACTGATATCTCTTACTGCCCTGGGAGTTCTGTGTGGGCAAGATACTGAATATGTCTTAAACAAGGCTCATTTTGTTCCCTCTTGCAGTATCGAGCGATGCACTTTTCAGTGCTGATGAGAGAAAAAACTCCCAAGGACATTTTTCAAAAAGTGCTACTCTAGTTGCCCCAGCAGCAGTTTCCTTCCTTCATGATGTTTCCTCTTTTAATGGCCATGCTATTTTTAAGTAGACATTTTCATATGCCCTGTGTGTAAATTTTGATATCTGAAATGACTCATTCAGAGTTTAGTTGCCTTAGAAAATAATTCTGTATAAATATATTTAGTACAAGCTGAACCAACTGACCCTTAAATTAAACGGGTCTGATTGAGTGGCCATTTCTTTTTTATATAAGCACAGATCCTAGAAATTAGGAAGTCATTTGAAGTTTTGACCTTGTAGACTGTTGTAGGTTGTTGCATTTTACATAGACTGCAGTTAAGCTTCATTCACACTATGAGGGCTGCGCATCAGCAAAGTGACAAGCGCTCGTTAATTTCAATGGAGAGTGAGCAACTTACGGCAATCTCCATCAACACCAGCAATAGCGACCATTAGCGACCGGGCGGGTATGTCGAGACTTTGCTAACTTTATGCAAATGTAGAGCAACTTGTTTGAGCGACAGCCTATAGGAGCACCAGTAGAGCTCATGTGATCTCAGCTCACTCAGAGGGCGGTTGTATTCTCCGTGCTGTAGGGAGCTACAAAGTCGCTGATTGTGTGAAAGGGGCATTAGCAGAAGGTATCAGGTGTTGTCTGGATATTCCTTTTTACATGGGAGGACTGGTTGAGCACAAGCCTTTCTAGCAGTCTAAAGAGCTTAAGGGGTCAAGACTTTACACCACAGACCACACAGTTGCCGTCAAATGACTCGGATGTCATTTAAAGCTCATCTGAACCTCACACTCATCTTGTTTCTGTATGTTTATTGGCATGGCACATGTTTGTGTGCTGAATGTATGGCAGAGCACCTGTTGTATCCATCAAGTCCTTATTTGTTCATACTCCAGAACCTGACACTGGTGCTAACAACCAGTTGGCAACTAGTGTTATGTAAGCAAGAGTTCTTAGCGTGTCTGAATTTGTTTATGGGACTGTCCCTAATTCCTCTCAGATGCCCACTTCTTCACCCTCCTGATGTTTCCTGTGACCTTTACAGGAAACAAAAAACCATGTATTTCCACCGCGTACGTGACTTGTATAATGTACACTAAGTAATGCTTCTTTTCCGTGATGGTACTGCTAAAGTTATTATTGTAAACAGAAGCATGGTTGATAAGAAGTTTATATGTTTCTAACGTGTCCTTCCTTTTCCTCTCTTTCCAGTTCTCACATTGCTTCCATCAGCATTCTTCCAGGATCTGCCGAGTAAGTGTCTTCTACTAGCATACCTATAAGCTTTATTATTAAGTCTCACCTAGAGTGGTATTGTTTGCTTTTTTTTTTTTTTTTTTTGGGGGGGGGGTTCTAAAAACATGAGATGAACAACATACAAAGCCTTTCTCTGGCTGATAGGTCTATTCTCATAGTCTATTTAAAGTTAATTTAGATGACATTAATTTGAACTATATGCAATTATCCTCTGGACTAAATCAGATTTGTTGACTCACAGGCCACAGTATGCAATAAACAGAGCTTTAAGTGGACAGCAGGAAAAATGAAGCTGAACAAATGTGATTATGGTCTTAAAAGCGGACAACTTAAGGGGATGCCGTCTCTTGCAGACAGAGTGGATGTCTTTGTGACTTAGGCATTCAGGAAAAAACAGAACTGAAAGAGGAATTCTGCCAAGTTATCAATTGTTTACATTCCACTAATAGTGTTCATAATGAAACAAGAATTTCTATCGTTTCATTAGCAGTTAAAGAATTGCATTCAATAACCTTAGTTTCTTACTAGTGACTTGCTGTTTAAGTGAAGCCTTCACTACCAGCAGCACATTGTGGCAGCAGAAAGTTAATGATCCCATTTCCAAATGGCCTTAGAGCAGATAATGCATTAAAGTATCTGTAACCAAACAGCTTGAGGCGAAGCTGGTGCATCTGGCCCTGAAATTGTACAGCATTAGCGAGGAGCTCTAACAGAGACCACTGCAATGCTTGGGCACAGAGCACAAACAAGCTCATCTTCTGATGATTTATTGTGTGGAAGTTTGGCATGTGCAGAGGCGGTGTGACCTAGCAAGGCTTTTGGCTTGGTTGGGCACGTGGAGGGTTTAGTATGGCATGCTTGTCCATGGTTTTACACAAAACATGTGACTTCAGCATAGCCACTGAAACTCGGAAACTGTGACCAGAGACTTGGCTGTTATAATAACAAAGATCTAGTAAGCTCAAAACATGTCTATTTTCAGACACAGGAATCTGTGGTACTTGGAATGGAGGGTTATTTGTTATAATGTTGAGCTTGCAATGAGATCCCCTTGGCTGACCTTGTTAAATAGGCTGAACAATGATTAATATGGGTACTCTGTGTCCTGGCCTCAATTGTAAGGCACATTTTTATAGACATATTGAATTTGTTTATTTGCAGTATAATCCAGAGGACCATCCGTGCTGCGGTGGAACAGCACTTGCTGGACTTACAAACGTCCATTGACAAGGAGCTCGGCAGCTATGAGAGTCAGGTGTTGGACTCCAAACCCATTCATGGGTGAGTTTTACAACACACACACTTTACTTTTTCAGGTATTTATTTGTTTGGCTTAGGAGGCTTTTTTCTGCTTAAATCTATGGATAGAAGTCAATGTTTGTTTTCCTTTACAGAAATAGCCCTACTCTGAAAACACCAGGGCCTGAGGACCATGAAGATGTGCAGTCCGAATCTGAGGCAGAGACTGAGACTCTCCCAGAGGTTACAGAGGAGGGCCTGCCGTCAGAGAATAGCGAAGTAAGCAGTTTGAGGGTTAAACTTATCTGGATTAATTGGACATTCCTAAGAAAAACCCAGAAGAACAACCTGTAGACAATTGGCTTTCAACCTGGGGGTCTTTGCTCACTGTTGGCCTCAGAAATCTTTTAAGATGATTTGTTAAAGCATCTGAATTTTATAACAAATACATATTTTGCTAGTTGTGCAAAGTTAGTAAATATTAGCTATATATATAATATATAATATACTATATATAATTATACTATATATAATATAATAAAATGTGGAAGTATTTGTAGAAATCTGTTTATGTTGTAAGTAAATAGTTTGGAATTAAATATCAGTTTTTAAATTATGAATTATATAATTATTGTAATTTTTATTTACAGAAAACTAAATGAAAACAAAACAAGAGTTTGCCGGCTTTTGAATGTTGTGGAAAATAGGCAGACGTATGCATTACACAATTTCTGTAGTCTAGAACTGGCCTTGAAGATGTTTAGTCTCTCTCCTATCAGCAAGGTCATTAATACACAGCAGAGCAGCTCCTCCTCAGGAGAGCATGAAACAAGGGCCTTCCTGTCAGATAAACAGACCATCAACTGTTCTCAGCAGGCACAAGCAATCTTCCAGTTTAACAGCGTGCCAGAGCAAATGAAACATTTTAGATAAAGGACTTTTTTCAAGTAACTAATTAAGTAACACACTGAGGCTGGTTCAGACGAGCATCACCAAGGCTGATGATAAAGCTTTGACTCTCTTTTGCAGTGAACCGTGAGGTATAATAAAGTGAGAAGTGTGTCCGGGGTGCTTGCACCATGACTACTCTGATTAACAGTCTCTTTGGGAGGCTTCTTTTTCCCTCCACACGTACCTCAAATTCTTGTGGCCTGGCCACAGGTTAGGAACATATGAACTGGGTCACCTTCTTTTAATAGCAAATCCTGAAGAATGACAGCACCACCTGCTCAGCGCAAACAACTCCCCCCAAGAGGCACCCTATTCCTCATTCTTATCGTCTGCTGACCTTGAAAGACAATCATCATTAAACACGCATACTAGGCGTAGATATGAGCGTTCAGATGGCTTCGAGAACATTTGGCATTGTGCAGTGTCTCATTTGCACTTGTAAACCTGTTTTTGCTGTCGGTGGTAATTGCCCTTCTTTTGCACACAGGAATCTCAAGGTTCTCAGCTTAGCAGCCCTATCATGGAAGAAAGTTCTGGGATGGACCTTGACACAGAGACTCTCATAGAAACCGAGAGTCTTGGCGCAGAAAGGTTAGATTGCAAATGTTAAATATACCATTTTTGGTAAATCAGATTGAGAGATCAAGTCATTTCCATGAGAATCGTTTGGGGGGTTTTGCGTGAAGGCGGATTATCCCATTTCAGACTCTAATGATATCTTTTTATTAACTTTAAAGTAAATTTTTAGTAGAAATAACTACTCAGTCTATTACATTTATTGCCAGTGGCATTTATGTTGTGCCCCCTAGAACGCAAGCATGCACAACCACACTTTGAGGATGTACAAGGACTTTGCTTGAGTCCTCTTTGTTCCTGTAGTGATGTGGGGTTTATTTCTGGACTTTATATGCCTTGCAGCCTATTAGTGAAAAAAATACTTTTCTAACGAAGTAGCTTTATTTTTTAAGCTTCCAGGAATAACATTTTACAAGGAAACATACAAAATTGTTCTACTCTTTTAATTGAAAATAATAATAGAAATTACTAGCTTTAAATAGCTTGCAAAGTTCAAATAGTGTTCTTGTAAAAACATTTGTAAGCCTGTTAGATCTGGTAACTGAGTGTCCTAGATTGCAGTCTGTAGTGGGTGTGACTGGTGAAGTTTAGATACACTTTAAGTTCTCTGCTTCTTTAACAGCCTTATTAATAGACTTAATATGACAGTTTTTTCCCAAGCAAGACATTTAAAGAGCTCCTATGGAATAGCGCTATAATTGACAGGCATGAAGGGAACAGAACACACTGTGGAGTTTACAGTCATTTGTTTCCACTTTTCAGACTGGAGAAGCACTCAGACTATGAGCAGATGGACCAGACTGATGTTATCACCTACGTGAGTAGATTTCAATACCACCAGGATTCTGTCTGTTTTCCAAACACTGCAAGATTGAAGCATCTAATCAAACTTTTTCAATGACTCACAGGAGCCCGATGACTGTGACCTGAATGCTAATACTGAGTCCACAGAGCCAGCCAGCGGTTTTCAGTCTTCGACCAGAAGCATGTTCTTGGAAGGCGAACAAGAAGGTAATTCTTTCACTCCTGTCTTTATAAAATACTACAAGTCAAACATTTACTTCTTAGGTTTCCTATAAAGAAATATTGCACACTGTTTACACCGTGAAAGCATTCAATTGCTTGTTTCTTCATTGTTAAAAAGCTATGAATTAAAACAATAACCTGCTCCAGTCTGTCCGATCTTTGGTTGATGTTAAGGCATTTGTTTGAAGTCAGTCCTTTGTGTCCCATTTGGAGCGAGTTGTGCTGTAATCTCTTTCGAAATTTGACCGGGATGTGTCTATGTATGTTCTGGCTGAGTGTTGGCATTCTGAGAAGAAATTAATAGATCACTGAGTTGCAAATAGGGAAAGTAAGCTTTTATTATTCTGAAACCATCAATGCATATGGTTTGGCTTTCTCATGTATTTGGAGATGTATGTGAAATAAATGTGGCTCATGTGGTATTAGTGAATTCTAGTTATGACTCATTTAATTCCAGTCATAGGTCCACAGCATTGTGTGTGTCTGTGAGTGTGTGTGGCTCGTAGCTCATTGCACTCTTCTGTGCTATGTCTCTCTCTCTCCGCCCATGCCTGGTCAGCATCATGCCCCATCAATTTCCCACCCATTGACTTCACTTGTATGCACCTGCAGAGAGAAGGGAACGGTAAGTAGCATCTCCACAGACCACTCCTGCTCGTCCAACATCTGCTGAACCTCTCAAGTTGTTTTCTCACTTATTTTAAAGCCAAATTTGACTTCACCCCCTCTCCTTTATGTCACTCAGCTTTCGTTTCACTGTCTTACTTTGACCTTACACTTTCAACATCAACCACAGAGTTCCACCGTGAATGGCTTTAAAAAATGTTTTTGGCCTGTAATGTTTTTGGCTCACTTGTTCACTACTAAAACGTGTGCACATAGAACAACACATGGATAAAACATGTCTCTTAAAATTGAAGCAGCATTATGAAGGCCCAGAGGGATTCTGTGTTTTCAATATAATTTTAGAGGAGTTCTGGAAAATGGATTTAAATATGTTATTATGTGTTGAACCAAAGTAAAAATACTACTATTAAACTGGTCACTAACAGCAAAATAACTTAAAGGGCACCTATGATGTAAATCTATATTTTGTAAGCTGTTTGGACAGAATTTTCTGTATGTGTAGTGTGTCCACTGTCATGCTGGAGTGATAGAAACCTAACAAGCCTCTTTTTAGAATTTTCCTGAGGTTAAAATAGGATCCAAATCCCAGTCATTTTGAGGCCCACCACAATGTAACGGTTTTCCCCGCCCACCAAATTGATTGACAGATGCCATGTCTTCATAATAACATGTATATACTTCCACAGAATCTTTTTTTGCAAATAACCTGGGATTACAATATCTGTTCCAACTCTGTGATTTTTACAAGTTTAAAAACGTTTTAAAACAGAGCATGTTCGTGATAAAGACAGTAAAATTGCTATGCATTTCTTAATCGATATAATAACCACGACCACATGGTGTCAGTTAACGCTAATGTGTGTTTGTGTGTGTATGTGTGTGTACTGCAAACTGCATGTGTATGACTCACTGTATCAGAAAGGCTTGAATAGACTTCACCGCAAATACATCAAATAAACTTACTTGTTATTTTTGACTCGTGACCTTCTTTCAGCTTCATCCGAGTCTGTCTCTGTCATTGTGCTGTTTGTCTGACGTAACGCACAATGACACGCAGACATGCACATGGGAACGGTGGGCAGGGAGAAGCAGCCCATTTTCATTTAAAGCCACAGACCACAAAAACAACTACTTTGTACTCGAATACCAAAATGGGCAAATTCTGGAGGCTTTAATAAATAATCTGATGGGTATTTTGAGCTGAATCTTTAAAGACACATTCTTGAGACACCAAAGGCTTATTTTACATTTTGTAAAATAGGTGCCCATTAAATGGAAAAATAAATTTGATGTTAAATTACCCTCAGGCCATCCAAGATGGCAGTGACTTTAACCTACAGTGATGCAGATTTTTAGCTAAAACCATTGTCCTCTAGTATACATATAATGAAACTAAGTGGGTGCCCTCATTTCAAAATAAAAAAAACATATGTAAGCAAAACGTAATTAATTCCTGTGGCTCCTGGTGGTCCTGAGCAACAAACTTAACATTATTAACTTTATTAGTAAAACAAAATGTGCAGTTTGTTGCACAGAGCTATTGTTTGATTTTTTTTTTAACACCTCAGTGCATCGTCAAGAGCCACAGGTATTACTTATGATTTGTAAACCTATTTTCTTAAATCTCAATTTATAAGGGGGGTCTCTCCACACCACCACCAGTGTGCAGCATCCACCTGGATAATGCAGCTGCAGCCACAGGACAACGGCGCCAGTGCGCCCACCGCACATCAGCTGTAGATATAGTTGACAGACAGTGATAGAGCCAGTTTGGTGGACGGGGATGAATGAGAGGCCATGATGGTTAAGGGCCGATGGAGGGTATTTGGCCAGGACACCGGGGTTACACCCCTACTCTTTACGAAAAGGGACATGAGATTTTGAATGCCCACAGAGAGTCAGGACCTCGGTTTAATGTCTCACCCAAAAGATGGTGCTCACTGACAGTATAGTGTTCCCTTCACTTTACTAGGGCATTAGGACACACACAGACCGCAGGTTGAGTGCCCCCTGCTGACCTCTAACACCACTTTCAACAGCAACCTGGTTTACGTGGTATCCCATCCAGGTACTGGCCAGGCTCAACCCTGCTTAGCTTCAGTGAGAAACCAGTCTTGGGCTCCAGGGTGATATGCTTGTGGTATTATATGGGTACTAACAATGGTTTCAGATCGTCTTTGTTGTTCTACAAAAGAGGAAAAGGAAGCTGTAGGTGATGAGCAAGTTAACAGCAAATCAAAAAAATTGGGTGAAATATTCCTTTAACTTGATTTAAGAAATATGCAAGGATATGTAGAATATTTTGAATGTGTTTCCAGTTCTAATCTGTGAACCTTTCTGTAGGTTTAGGTTCCATGGTGGACTTGAAATAAAGTAACATTGGCAGCCAGTCAGAATCCATCTGACTTTAAAGCGCTCAAGCATTTAATAAGGCAGATGATAAAACCACAGCTCACGCTCATTATAAAACAATTGCTAACATCCATGGCCCTGTACCATCCACATGAATTCACAGTATTCCAGATTCCATTTTTCTAACAAACTCTAGCTTCATGACAACCACAGTCACACTTTCTGACGTCAATCTGAGCTTGGTCTGTGGTAACGGCTCTAGTGTGAGAACGCCTTCAGTTTAAGTTCGCCCCCCTGAGACTCTGACTAACCCTTCGGCTCTTCACATGCACCCAGTTAGTCCAGCTGACTCCCACTATTTACCATCTGCCATCAGCAAATGCATCAGCTTTCTCTTAATCAACTACCATGTCAGACATCCAGGCAGTGCAAATTTGATCAGCTAGGTTTCCATAGCAGGCCCTAGTCCAGTACATTCTCTGCCCTGTTGGGTCAACGTGACTTCTGCTCTTAGCATGTTTCCTTGTATCAAGCACTATTAACAATAACTGCTGTCTCTGCTGATGAAGCAGCAATGAAGTACCATAAATATTTTGGCTCGAAAATGTATGTGTATGAATGTTTGCCTGAGTGGATGACATTATACTGTGCACTATTACCCAGAATAGACAACTGCCAAATAATTTGTCCATTTCTCCTAATGCCGAGTTCAGACTACATGATTTTCGCCTGGATTTTGACTTGCTGACATTTTTAATTCAAATCATGTCTTGTCAAATAAGTTTTGACTGAAAATAACATTGGTGATCTCCTACATTCAATTAGAGAGCAGCATCCAGGGTGTTGGGAATAAGTGGTATTGGGGGGTGTTGGATGGTGGAGAGGTGTCGTAGACAAAGGACGAATGTAAAGAGCGGAAGGTTGTCGCGGACAAAAGTAAAAGTGAACAGCGGACAGGGGAGGAGGGCGGTTGAAGAGGGGGATCAGTAAAATTAGGTGCCAGATCAGATTTCAGAGGTGCCGGATCTGGATCCAGTGTGTTCCGGCACAAATTAAGCCCTGGTTGTGGGAGACAGTTTTGGAACAAAGACAAAGTTGTCGGCGATTCTATCTACTGTAAAGTCATACAGTGTGAAACGCCATCACCGATCCATCTTGCAGTGTAAACACAGCAGCAACAAAAATGCTACACCAGATAGTCATGCAGTGTGAAAACATCTGTGACATGACTAAAATCGTGCAGTCTGAACTCAGCATAAGTCTTGTGATGATGTGAATTTTAGATTTGATGTGTTGTGCTGCTCGCTCTATGTCAGAGCAGCTCTAAACATTGTTCACCTATTTAGGCTTTGGATTAAAAACAAAAGGCAACTTTTCACTGTTGTCAACTTCTTATTCAGTGTTATTGCGAATTCAACTACTAAGTTGTTGGGATGGTGTTGCTTGTATAATGGTATGTGTGTCTATGTCTTTGGCAGATCCCATGCCAGTGTTCATGTCATGGCAAGAGGAGACCGAGTCAGGGGAGGCCCAACTGTCCCCGCTGGCAGGCCGCATGATGCCCTTACCTCTAGAAGAGGATGCTCATCCACTACTGGCTCGACGGTTTCTGGATTTTGGCCACAGCCAGCGGTTCTTGCAGCAAGACCATGATGCTTCATCCTCCACCAAAACTCTGTCATGTGGGAGGTGAGCAGAGAAACTACAAAAGTTTACTCAGATACACTGACAGTCTATTCATGCTTGTGTCATGTCCCACAGGCCTCGCCGTGCTTCCCTCTCTTCCAAAGACAGTGTGAAAGGAGACAATGTCTCTCAACAGCTCACCAAGAAACTCCAGAACCTCAAGAAGAAAATCAAGCAGTTTGACGAACAGTTTGAAAAAGAGAGAAACTACAAGGTTAGAAAAGATCTGGCAAATAAGTCCAGTACACTTGCAACATCCTTAAAGTCGGCATGAAATCAAATATTACTCTTCTTTTTCTTAGATGTATATAGTAGTGCTTGTTATTAACAATGTTATACCAAACGATCAAATCCCATAACCCACCTACCCACCTTGAAACTTCTTTTCTTTACTTCTGGTCACATGAAATGCCTTTAGGACAGGGCTATCAGTGTATGACTTGTTTTTGCCCTGCCTTTGAGGGAGACTGCTGTTTGAATAAATGTTATAAATTAAAACAATCTATAAGATGTAGATCCTCGTTCTCGTCATCAGGCACCTGAAAACATTCTGACAGTGATTTCAGTTGACAGTAATTTCTTACACTTGAGTGTAAACTGGCATTTCGCAGTCCATATTATTAGCAACGCCACACTTCTAACGATCTAATCGGTTCCCAAAGGATGAAATCATGCGCCTCTCTAACGTTCCAGCTTCATCTTTAATTAGCAGCTTGTATTAATAACTTGTAAAGTCTCAAAAGTTGATTGTTTTACTGAACGTTTGATAATACATTTACATCTATAAGATTTGGCTCCTCGTTGTTGTCATCATTGGGCATCTAAAAACATTTTGACGGTGAATTTAGTAGACAGTTGTTTCCCACACTTGAGTGCAAACTAGGATTTCGCACTCCATTTTGTTAGCAATGCTGTACTTCTAACGATTCCAATCATTTCCTAAAGGAAGAAATCATGGACCACCCTAAGTTTTTCTAACTTTAGACACCATTCCTACGTAGATGTATGTATGATAGGGAAAGAAAATGACAATCCTAGGATTTTAACCCTTTATTAAAGGAAACCCTTAAATTGTAGCAGGAAGTTTTGCTCTTGCAAATTGTCAAACGTGAATCATGAATTCATTTTAATGAACTGTCTTTTTGTCATTTGCAGCCATCTCACGCTGACAAGGCAGCTGACCCGAAAGTGTTGAAATGGATGACTGACCTCACCAAAATCCGCAAGCAGCTCAAAGGTAAGAGTGTTAGTGTGAGCAGGGGGAGCGTTTTGGGTGTAGAGGTTCTGATTGTCAGTGTCACAGTTATTGGGCAGTCCTACTCTGGCCTGCACCCCTGTCCGCTGCAGGACAGATTGGAAAAGTGCACCTTACACTGCATGTCTGTAGAGGCTCTGGGGTTCTCTCTCATGGGACCACCCTCATACTCTACCGGAGACCCCTCCACTCACTGTGTTTGGCCCCCCCTACACTTCCCATCATCCATTTCCATTTAATGATCCCCATCAGAGGTGCACTGTCGTATAAAGTCTCTCTTTCTCTTTAACTAAATCCCCTCGGATGGCCCGCATCGGCAGGACGACATCACCTCTTACCCAAAGGTTCCCTGAGGCACCAGGCCGTGCTTCAGTCTTACAGATGCCATTCGTCCTCTTCCTCCGTCCCGAACACACCCCATATTACACTGTCACGCCCCCTTGCCTCTAGACAGTCACCCCACTTCTGTAAGTACATTTAAGCAGCAGTAAGTAGACTTCAACACTCCTCTCTCTCTGACTGTCTCTCTGACCGCGGTCGAGCAGATGCATTCCCCCTACGGGACACTCTCAGCCACGTGTCTCAGCTTCTTTAATCACCTAAAGTGTATGTTTATGGGGATTCAAGGGCTTACATGCTGTTTTCAGCTGAGCTCCTTGGGCTTCCCTTTTGAGGATGCTAAAATATTGCCTCTGATATTTTACTTAATGAGGTCGTCAGTTAAGTACTTTTCTCAGATATTGGCGATACACGGTTGGTGTGGCCATCTTTACCCTGAAGTTCCCAGCGACCTGCCACCTTCTTGTTTCTAAAATTGTTTCTTTCTCTTTGTGTCTCTTTCGTCCAGATGCCAAACACAAGGCTGAAAGTGAGCTGACTCCACAGACACGTCCACGCAGTAACACTTTACCCAAGAGCTTTGGATCCACTTTGGATCAGTCCGCTTATGAGGACACTGTGGAGATTGAGGCACGGGGTCACCGGCCCACTCGAGAGGAGACGCTGGAGCTCATTCAGCAGTGTATCCAATCCAAAAGAGATGAGGATGGCTGGCCAGAAGATGTCAGAGTGAGTCCCAGTTTCATCTTTAATTAGCAGCTTTGATTATTAACTTGTTAAGTCTTAAAAGTTGATTGTTTTACATATCATATTTTAAAAGTTTGACATATGTTATCTAATGTTGTAAAATCTGAAATCTTTTTACCAAATAGTCTTTTGACTACTCTAAATTGACTTCCATGTTGCTCTTTACAGAAAATGACCAAAGAGCAGCTTGCCAGTGAGAAAACAGTACTGCAGAAGAACCTTCTGTACTATGAGGGACTGCATGGCCGCCCGGTAGGAGTCACATACACTCATACATATGCACATTAAGGTCCAATCCCAATTTTATTTTTGTACCGCTACCCCTTCCCTTTGGCCCTTGAAACAAAGTGTGAAGGGAAAGGGCTTCAAAATTTACCTCTAAGACTGGGGCACCACTACAACACCTGCACACATCCTCACTTCATCGCTCTCCTTTGCTTCATATGAGATTAAGGATGATGACTGCTGTAGTTATTTCAGTTGCATTATATTTTGCTATTTCTCTTCAGGAAAATCACTGAAGGCAATGATATCCTGTAATTATAATGGTATGATGTGGAATTAAGATGATAACAGTGCTGTGCATTTACACCGTGGCCATATTCATTTATGTAAACAAAGAAACAACATTAACATTAATCCAGACACTGTAAAAAGGTCATTCCCAGCCTCTAGAATTATCTGACACGGTATTTAAGAGTCATCAAGTGACAATTTTGTGAAACTACTGTACAGGAGTAATTATTAGGCATTATAGATAGCGAAATTTAGTGTTTTGTTTTAGCTGGGGGGGTTTTCAAAGCATGAGGGTGAAACGCAAACGCTGTTATGAATATATTTAAGCATATGCTTTTTTGTTGTAAAATTCATAAATAATAACAATAAATAGTAATCTGTGCCTCTCCTTACGTCCATGTGAAGCCATGCTGACGTTATTAATGGTGTGTTCTGGGGATTTTTTGTACCCATACCCCTTGGTTTCAAGTGTGATACTTTCAAGGGCTATCTTGCCCTTGCCCTTAGCCCTTTGCCTTCAAGCTAAAGAGAATTGGGATACCCCTTCCAGTGAACGCGCACAACTAGGGGTAAGGGGAAGGGCTAAGTTGTAGAATTGGGATTGGGCTTAAATCTTTCCCATGCATGCAATGCTCTGACAGAAGTTTGTTTGCAGGTGACTCGAGAGGAGCGCTTGATTGTGAAGCCCTTGTATGACAGATACCGCTTGGTCAAGCAGATGCTCACCCGTGTCAGCATCACCCCCATTATAGTAAGCCTTTTGGGTCTTTGCTGTTATAAATAATATATAATTGGTGTTTGCAATCTGAAACCAGGTCGGGAGCATATCATATTCTATGAGTGATATTGAAAGTGCCTGAAATCTGATAGCATAGCGAAATGAAAGCTAAAACTGTTTTGTAGAATTGAAATAGGATCTGGCTGGGGGGTTCTTTTTGATTTTATGTACAATACACTACATTGTAAAATCCAACAGTCAACTTTATCTAATGAAATGAGTGTAGTTAACTCAAAATTGACTGAAAGTGAATTCTACTCATTTAAAAAGAAATTTGAACTCGGTGTTGAAGGTAATGAGTTAATTACATACCTCATTACTTCAACTTAAATGGAGTAAGTTCACATCACTCATTTAGATTTGTTTTTTAACTCATGGTTTGTTGCAATCTGTTTCCTCTAACGGTTTGAGTTACCTTAACTATTTGGGTTTTACAGTGTAGACAAAGCCAAAATAAGTGTGCTCTCCTCTCTCACACAGGCTTCTCCCTCAAGCAAACGGCGCAATCAAATGTTACAGCCCATCATTGAGGGCGAAACGGCCCACTTCTGTGGTGAAATCGAAGAAGAGGAGGAGGATGAGGGCAGGGGGCAGCAGGAAAATGTAGAGATGCAAAGCGAGTGCTCTGATATCATCATGGACCCAGTAGCCCAACCCAGCTCCCAGCATCCCACTCAGGAGAACATCCTCAGCTCCGGGAAGCTCAATCTCGATCTGCGTCTGTCCAGTACCAACGCCTCCTCAATGTGAGTGTAGACAAGTAAATCCTGATGTTTACTTTCTTTCTTGCTTATTAAATGCTACAAGAAATGTATTCTGTAATAAATGGCAAGCTGAAGTAACTTTGAAGGCCTCCGTCTGGAATTACCCAGTGGGTCTTGGGTTTAAAGTAAAACCTACATTGGCAGAATCAATTTCTGCAGGGTGATTTATGTGTACACGCATTTACGCACGTAGCCATGTGGTTTATCAGGTAGGTGCAGCAATCGGCTCACACTCTCGTCATATGAGGTCTATTAATAGATCTTGGCAGATGCCTGGAAATCTGCAGGAGTCAGTGGCCCGAAAGCCTCAAGCTGGATCAAGCCGTAATCTTGTATGAAAGGAAAACAACTGCCCAGACAGCCAACTTCTAATCTACTAAACTAGATTGAGTGGCACTGAGATCCATGTCGCCTTGTTACTAACTTTTTAATGACCAAAGGTAACGTCAGAGCAGTGCTCTTGTCATGTTCAAAGGTTGTTTCCTGCTCAAGAGTGTTTTGAGTACACAGTTTCCTGTTGCTGTGGTTTCAAGGAAGCTTCAGCTCCATATATGGAAATCCAGCAACTTAACACTACCTGTATCCCACAGGCCTGAGCTCCTGGAACAGCTATGGAAGGCAAGAGCAGAGAAGAAGAAACTGAGGAGGACCATCAGAGAGTTTGAAGATGAGTTCTACCAGCAGAACGGCAGGTAGGCTTGCCAGATTTCATATGAATGCACAGAAGGGGCAAACATACGGGTGTCTTAAGATCAATGACACTTTAGTGCAGTCATGATATTGAAATTTAAAAAGCGTCCATTTCCCACAAACATTTGAGTGCTGTTGAGCACATTCTTAAACAGCTCTGATTAATATATAAATATGATAGGATGGCTTTGCCACAAACTGTGTGAGAACTAACCGACATCTCCAGGTACTCTTTAGAACTGGACCCCAAAAAACGTTGTGTGCACTACTGATTATAATGTAGGAATCCTATTAGGGGCAGAGGTCCTATTTAGTGGTCCTAATGTACATGTCATTACATGGAATTCGATACCAATCGGTACTGAAATTTTAAAAACGTCCATTTCCTGCGAATATTTGAGTGCTGTGGAGCGCATTCTTAAACATTGCTGATTTGCCACTGTGATTACGTGCTCAACAGAAAGGACTGTGATTGGCTGTGAAAGTCATCTGTTCACCAAACTCACTGTTGTTTACTGAGTGTAACCACAGATAACTGTGTTACTACTTCCACAAAAATATTCAGTACCACAACTATTTTCATTGAAATCAAATTCATGATTGTGGTGTTGCTTGCATCTAATAATTCCTTACATTTGTTGAGCACTTTTCTGGACACCCAAAGGGCTTTACTTTTTTGGGGGGGAATCTCTTCATCCACCACCAGTGTGCAGCATCCTCTTGGATGATGCAACGACAGCCATATTGCGCCAGACCGCACATCACACACTAGCTGATTGGTGGAGAGGAGTGATGAGGCCAGTTATCATATGGGGATGGTTAGGAGGCCATGATAGACAGAAGCCAGTGGGCAAATTTGGCCAGGATACTCTTTTTCGAAGGACATTCTTGGATTTTTAATAGTCAGAGAGTCAGGACCTTAGTTTTTAACATCTCATCTGTGCTTACTAAGCAGTATAGTCCCCATCGATATACTGGGGAGTTAGAACCCATTCAGACCACAGGTTGAGTGCCTCCTGTTGGTTCTCGCTAACACCACTTCAACCCGCAACCTAGCTCTCCAATGTGGTCTTCCATCCAGGTGCTGACCGGCCGCAGCCCTGCTTAGCTTCAGTGGGCTCACATGTGAAAGTTGCAGAGAGCTAGCTGCCGGCATCTTGCTCTACTATGTAAGATGTAGAACTGCTGTTTCATTTTATATCATTTAAAACAAAGATTTTCCTAATTTTCTGATTAAAGTCATTTTTGCTTTAATATATTTTTTCCCTAGAACAAATCACAGCACTGAAAACTAAAAGCAGACACACAGGCGTGTCCTTAAGTGTCGTTTGAACAGGTTGTTGTCAGTTTTTTTGATGATGGTGCACAGGTCAGGGTAATCAGACTCTGCCATGATAAGCCTCTGACATTGTACCAGACGAATGCTGTAGTTGCTTCTGTAAACACTGACCCACCCCAGACTCTGTTCAGTTCATTGTTGTACAAATGACATTGCTACAGTATGGAACAGCTGTTCAGCTTTTTAACACGATGCTGATTAAAAGCTTAATTGGTTTTAAATGAATCACCAAAAAACAAGTTGTAATACGTTTTCCAAAGTAATCCACTTGACATGACCAGCTGTTGAAAACTAACTGGAAAGTAACTAGTGTAAGCCCTCATGGGGAGAAAACATTCAAACAGCTGCAAAAGACCATGTCTTCTCTGCCTTCTTAACATATTCCTAAACATTTCAGGATGTGTTGTAGAAGAATAATAGCTAGATTTTTGCTGTCTGAGATTTTAAGTTTGGTTTAAAGAATGTTTGGAAGTTTCTGGATGAAGTCACATGGATTATTTTGATGATGTTTTTGATTCTTTTCTTTGATCGTCTCCTGACTGTTGCTGTAGAAAGCTCTTGGTTTTCATCTGAAACATCTTAATCTGTGTTCCAAAGATGAAAAAGTGGGGGTTGAAACAACTTTAGGCTGAGTAATTAATAACAGTAAATAGTAAATTAACTAACAATTTTTCTCGGGAGCAGCCGTTGCCTAATGGTTAGAGAGTTAAGGCTTGTACACACCGGGACACTTTTCGTTTACGTTTACCATTACGTTTTTTGTATTTTGAGATATTTTTCCGCATTTTAGCCCAATCGATTTTTTTCTCCATAGGGTGGCGCTAAGCTTCTGACACCTGCTTGTAACAGAAGAAGAAGAGAGAAAGTTGACACGCTTGTTGTTAAAAATTAGAGTGCAATAAGCAGCTCCACGTTCATATTGCCTCTAGGCATCTTCTTCAATGTTCGCTCAAAATTGACAGTAACAAAAGGGCCAATCTGATTGGTGGAGAAGGTTTTGACGCGGTGCGTTAAAGCAAAAAAAAAAAAAAAACAAGCATGAGGCGTTTCTTTAAAAATCATGCTTTCAGACCTGGGGTCAGTTCTTTGTACGTGGATTACTCAGTTAGCTGGATTTGGATATTGACGATTTGACACGATCCAGGATCGTTTCGTTCTTCAAAGCTGATCCAAGAGTTGTTGTCATAGCAACAGTTGTGCTAGCTCAAACCTGATCGGGAGCAGGTTCAATTCATATAAACAGGGTTAGATCGGGTCAGTTCAAGCAGTGATAATACAGAAAGTATGTACCGAATTCTGATATTTTCTTACAGTAGTAGTTATATACACTTGAAAAAATGGTCAATATTTTTAACTATTTATATAAAGTTACAGTTAGTAATAAAATAAATAAAGTTATACACATTAATAAACTTATGCAATCTGCACCCTCGAAATGAAAGCACATAGACTGCCAACTTATTATTGATACTTATTATTGCCAACCAACTTATTGATATGAACTTTTTAGATCGCTTTAGTACAAATTGTGTATGATAATAGAAATGCACAATATGACTTTTTTTTAAAAGCAATAATACATTTATGCAGTCGTAAACATGTTTTGACAGTTAATAGGCCAGAGATGTGATGCTTCACAAAAGTTGCAGACGCCTTTACCAATATCAAAATGCTTTTGTAAACAACCAGTTATCCTTTACACAGATAAAAAAACGGCTACTATAATAAAGAAAATCTATTCTAAATGTTGAACTAAATACACTGATATGCATTGAAATACATGACTACTCTTGACACATGAAAGTGTAAAGCCTGCAGCTCACAACAAACGTGGAAGGTGATTGCGTGTCATATTTAACAAACCGTTTACTGCTGCTAATTTGATATAATTTTGCTCACATGGATAATTGAATATTAATCAGATGATGTCATTACGCTGCTGTGCCGTCAGCTAATCGTTGCATTGCTGATCATGATTTGCAAACTTGTTTGAAGAACCAAATTAGCGAGAGATCAGTTATCAAGATTAAAGAATCCAGGATCTGCCAAATTATCTTAGATCATTTAAGCGAGCTACGAAGAACAGACCCCTGCCGTTTTGCGAGTTGGTGTGCATGATCACATTGGCTGCCTTTATTTAGTCACAAGGCGTTAAACGTCGACGGAAGACGCGAGCAAAAAGCGTCCTGGTGTGAACAGGGCTTTAGACTTGTGACTGGAGGTCACATGTTTCAGTCCCGGCATCAGCAGAGATTGTAGATGGTGGGATAAATGTAGAGCACAAACCCCAAGTACAGGTCCCCATACTTTGCCACATATCACAACATTCTTTTCCTTCCTTTTTCCTTCTTTTCCTTCAAACATGAATTTTTTTGTTTGTGGCTTGATCAACCAAAACTTAATACTAGTCAGTAACAGGACCAATCTCCATATACAAATATTTTATGTTGGAAAAAGCTTTATATTCTGCATCATTCTTAATTAAAAATGTGTGTTTCCCCCCAACAGGAATGTTCAGAAAGAAGACCGCTTGCCTATGATGGATGAATACAAGGAGTACAAGCGCATTAAAGCCAAACTCCGGCTTCTGGAGGTCCTCATCAGCAAGCAGGATTCATCCAAGTCCATCTAAAAAGTTTCCAGTTGTCTCCAGGAGCCAATCAGATCAGCCATCTCTAATGCCCAAGCAATGATATCATCTCGACAGTGGTCCAACAATTTTCACTGTCGTCCTTCATCGCTCAGCCACTGAAGAAAATGAAACCCCAGTCATCTAAAAGAAAAACCTTACAAAGTTCTTCTCCTTATTTAAGTTTGATATTCAGACTTTTGTTTGTTCCTGTTTCCTCATTGCGTGAGCTTTCTCATACTGAGATTCCACCAGGGGGGTGTGCTGGGATCAGTAGACATCAGGCATCTAACTCTTCCTCAGACCACATATACGGTCAACATATTTCAAACACCCACGTCATACTCCTCCTCTCCCCGATTAATGAGGGGGCTTTGTGTTCTCCGAGGGTGTGATTTGGGTTTTGTGTATGTACACTTGTACAGATCTATACTCTACTGTATGTAAGCATAAATATTTCGTGTTTTTCTTGATGAAGACTGATCAGCACAGATTTCACCCTTCCGCTTTTTGCTTACAAATCAGAAGACTCTTGCATCAGGGGGGTGCTTTTTTAATCCCGTGGATCACCTGATCAGACTGACGAAAGCAACTCCAGCTGGACTGTCACAAACACTTCCTGATTCATATGTAAATAACACGTAGCTGTAAGTCGACTCTATTACTGTGTTCTATCTATTATGTACGTTTTACTAAAAGGACGACGTCATGAAAAGTGAATATATATATATATATATATATGCCAAACTGACATGTAGGTTTGTCAATGTTAGATCACAGCAGTAGATCATTTCTGACTCTATTAGTAATACGAATAAATAGAATTTGTTTGTTTTTGTAACGTTAACAGTTTTTCCACACCTCCAGACTCTCTGAAAGTATCCAGTCATGACCAGTAATGCTGTAATCATCTTCAAACATGATGACTTAAAGGAATAGTTCACCCAAAACAAGGGTATTTAACAAACTCATGCCATTTCAATCTTCTCGAGACCTTTGTTCATCTTCGAAACACAAATGAAGATGTTTTAGATGAAATCCTGGAGCTCTCTTATGCTCCATTAACAAGGGTCCAGAGAATGTTCAGTGTAGAAAAGGAGCCCAGAACTATCCTGTGACTTCAGTGGTTCAACTGTAATCATATAAAACTCCAAGAACACTTTTGGGCACCACGTAAAAATGACTTTGTCTCCACCATCAGGGTTTGTGTATGTTTTTGGAGCTTACTATGATTACAATGTTACGTTTTTTTCTGAGCTTTGGAAATATCTTAATTAATGTTTCATATATGTGAGCTCTTAGGGGATTGGACCGATGTGTGAGTGAGTAATTAATAACAGAATCAAAATTTTGCGTGAACTAACCCTTTAAGGCTCTGTAGTTAACTATTTAGGAAGTTGCAGTGTCGTCGTGTCTCTCGACGTGTGATGTACATGCCGTCATTATCATGTGTCGTGTTTTTAGGGCATAGGATGTGGTTTGTTGTTAGTGTGGCGGGAGGTCAGAGGTTGTCCTGGCACTGCGGGCACCACTCCTCAGCATATCATCTGATCTGTCGTGGTCACTTTCAGCTGCCAGCTCATATCATTGCAGCATCCGCTTCAACTGGCCACCCAAAAGATGCTGCAGGCATTGAGTTGAGCTGATAGAGCGCCAAACAACTGCATAACGTCTTATCCAAGAGATAAGGGAGGAGTGATATACCGGATGGGGTCGCTGGGATGGAGAGCGTCGGCTTTGGGAGTCGTCGGAGGTCAGATGGATGTTCTGTGTGCTTGTCGAATGGATGTGTGTCCGTGGCAGATGAAGGAGGTGATGGAGATTATTTGCACAGCATTCTGGGAATGCAGTCTGTTTCGTTTGTCTTTCTCGTTAATTAAAGCACTACTTGCAGATGAAGGCTGCAAGAGCATGTTGTTATTTGATGCGTTCTGGCCCATCTTTCACCGTGTGGTGTTGTCTTTTTTATGACCATTATTTTGTACTCTCATTTCGTTTGTCGTCTCTCTTCCTGCGATTCATCTTAACAGAGCGGTTTCTCTGTATTCGTGAAGCACTTGCTTTGTCCTGTTTTGTATAAGCTTGTCAGTAGTAGGTTTGCATGGCAGAAATTTGTATTTCTATTTTTGTGCCATGAAAATGAAGCAATAAATTAGCATCGAGGCCTGTATCAGTGGAATGAGAGGCCTCCCGTAACTACTATGTGCATTTTCAATAAAAAGCTTGTGAGTATTATTTCCTGCTTACAGTTTTTGTACATGTAGATAGTGAGAATATTACAGTACACACAGACAAAAACAAACACATCACTGAAATCACATTTGCCATTTTCAAAATGTTGCGGCTGCATTTGTACATTTTTATAGTAAATTTAGCTAAAGCTCCTTGATTTCTGTCTGAGCTGGGCTTCATTATTGACTTTTTGCACACTAAATTTAACTTGCATTTCAGAACCTTCACATTTGATGACACAGAAGTGACTTTCAAAAGATTTGTGTGACGAGCTGTTGTGAAATTTGCAGTGGAACTTATTTTTTCTTCCCAGAAAATTCCAGAAGCTGTGCATTCATAGTGAAACTACTGAACTTTAACCACTGAAACTATTGAAGATTAGTCAGTGACTACAGTGTGACCTTGGACTACAAAACCAGTCAATTGGAATCTGAAGAAATAAGCATTTGCCATAAAACGCATGGCAAATGTAATTCTGACATAGAAATGTACAAGAACCTGAGGGTTAAAAAAAATAAAAAATATTGAGAACATTTATTTCAAGTTGTTCAAATTATGTTCTTAGAAATGCATAATAATAGTCAAATTAGGTTTTAATACATCTACAAAATTTGATCATGGTACATGATTTGATTTAATATTCTAATCCTTTATGTCATAAAACACGGGTGTCAAACTCAGTTCCTGGAGGGCCACAGCTCTACACAGAAACCTACAGGTAAGTGTGTTAAAGCAGGTTTAGACCCAAACTGCAGATCTGTGGCCCCCCAGGAACTGGATTTGACTCCTGTGGCATAAAAGAAAAGTATTTTTTGATTATTTTGGCTCATCCAAGTTATCGTTGGCGATTCCTCCAAATGTATCCCTGGTTTTGTGCACAAATATGCAATAATGCAAATCACAGAGCAGACTAACAACTCCACAGTCACAGAGGCATCATCAGACTATGCCTTTGTTGGTTGAGACTATACACAATCTAGTGGCCAAAAATGCTGTTAATAACGATTGTTCCTCTAAATTTTGAGCCTGTACAATTTCTTTATACTGCATAGGCCTGCTTGCCTTTAAAAAAAACTTAAAACAAGTATTTGCACAAATGATGCTGGCAAAACGGCTGTGGAGAGCACACATTCGGCAGCTACTAGAGCTTTAGTGAAAAGTCAGTGATTTGAGTTTATAATTGACCATATTAGAAATATTCTTGCCACAAAAACATCCATCCACTTTTTAAGATGTCAACCGTCTGGCAGATTATGAGTTCATTTTACAAAGGATTTATACGCTTTTGAAAACTTAAAAGGGCTGCTACCAGGGGGCGAAATACATTGACGATGTGTAGTAGTTTAGTAATACATGCTTCAGTGAATCAAATTTATGAATGTATTTAAATTACATCTCAAGTAATTAATAAACTGTATACGTTTTTTGTGTTTTGAGGGATATTTAGTGATTACTTAGAGGTTACTGTCGGTCAAACTATACAAACTGTCTATTTTTTCCCTTTCTTTAGGCTACATGCAGATATATACACGTATTTTACAAGAAATGTGTTTTGAGAATATTTAAGATGTCTAATGGTGCTCTAGAACTGCCATTTTCAGACTGTTGAATCATACTTTTCCTAGCATTAATTGGCGCGAGTGATTGGTCGGGGTGGGGGTCAAATGTATATTTATATTACACATTTTTTATATTTAAGATATAGATCAGAGCAGGCCTGGTGCTACGGTGGGGCAATGGGGGGCATTGCCCCCTCAGAAAGAGTTTGTGTTTTTATAAAGGATTGTTCTCTTAAACTGAAAATTCTTTGTGGCATTAATTCTTTACACCCCGGTTGTTCCAACCTTCAGAACACACATTTAAATGTTTTCAAATATATGACATAGCAATTGAATTATGAGAATAGCTTTATCATGATGAACAGTGCTTTATAATAACAATAATAATTTCTTACATTTCTATAGCGCTTTTCTTGGCACTCAAAGCGCTTTACACATAGGGGGAATCTTCTCATCTACTTTTTCATTTTTTTCTTTTTTAATGCAAGAAAGAACATTACAAAGATATAATATGAATAAAGAGACAAAGAGGGTTACATAAATTGAATTCCAGCAAATTAAACAAGTTTAAATGATTTACACTAAAGCATTTTACATGCAGTGTAATTGTTAGAGTCTTTTAAAGAGTTCACATAAATTTCAAAGTCCTTTCTGAAAATAAAAAAGTAAGGGTGTTTCTTTGAAAATTTACATTTATGGGTGTAAAATTTTGTTTAAAAAAGCAATAAATCAATAATACATTTACAATGAGAAGGATCTACCCTCAGAGAGTAACCAAAGAATACAATTTTTGGGGAAATACATAAGTTTGGAAATAAGAATTTTTTAATGAAACTGGATAAGTCAACCCAAAACACTTTACAGTAAGTACACTCCCAAAATAAATGGTTTAGAGTTTCATCATATTGAGTACAAAATGAGCATTTAGGGGAAATATTGTTATTAAATTTAGCTAGTTTGGTATTTATTGGGTAGCAATCTCCTTATCTACCTCCAGTGTAGCATCCACCTGGATGAAGCGACAGAAGCCATTTTACACCAGACCGCACACCACAGAGAGAAGAAAGAGTAATGAAGCCAATTATGATATGGGGATGGTTAGGAGGCCATGATGCACAGAGGCCAGTGGGTAAATTTGGCCAGGATGCCGGGGTTTAACCCCTACTCTTTTTCGAAAGACATTCTGGGATTTTAGGGTATTTGCTGAAGCATGCTAATATGACTTAATTTGCCAGTAACCTGGCTTAAGCGCTTCCGGCGAACTGTATGCCAAAGGAAAAATCTGCACAATCTGTTTTCTTTAAAAATCAGCGATCTCCACTGGCTGAGTGATATCCGATATGAAGTGGGTCTCAGATTGTACTAGAAGCGCTGCATTATATTACATTTTCCCCGCCATGTCTTTATAATATGAGCATTTATTTTACCCGTGTACTCAATGGAGCGTCTGCGCTATCCTGCCGATTCTGACGGGCGAGTGCGAGTAAAAGGCTTTGTTTCGTTTTACGCTTGAACAACTAAATGAATGCCAAAGTTTATTTAACTGAATGTATTTTAATTACATTACAACATGAATGCTTTAAAAGGAATCGTATAAAATGGAAAAAACTCACAATAACAGGTCACCGGAAGTTTATAAGTATATGGGAACAACACGAGCTCGGCATATACCCAATTATATTCATCTGTCTCCATATTCTACTGCATCCCAGAATATTACACAGCACCAAAAATGTAAAAAAATATATATTGTATATATTTAATATATTTTTGTGTACGGCAGACGGCAACTCGCCGTGACGCAGATTCCCGAGTCTGTGTGCTATGGGTGCTCCAATCAGATGAGCCCTCTTCAGCGCTCGCCATGACAACGAGATAGCAGTGACGTGTCTTGTAAAAATTTGCATCTGCATTCCTATAAAGCTTGTGTGCTCTCTGTCAGCGTTGTCAGTTCGCTCGGTGTTGCTGTTTGTACTTGACCAAGGTGAGTTCAATACCGACGGTACGAGTGGAGCCACGCCAATCTCACGAAGTCCGCTTCGTGAAGCTTCACTCGGGCCCGTCTGTGCTGTAGTTCCTTGTGGTTTACGTACATAAACGTAACATCGCAAGGAATATTACGTGTTTGTTGCTCGAAATGTGCCGCCGAGCAACATCCAGTGAATACTGGCACGGCCTGGCGCCCGGTCTTCTCGTGCACTCCCTGGGGCGAGGCGGCCTTTGAGCCCTAGGCAGGGAACAAACAACCCCCGAGGACCCTCAGGGAAACACGGGGGGCCGGTAGTGGGACCTCGCTGCGAGGGTTATGGTGGGTGGGAGTAGCGAGGCCCACTCATCGTCTATTTTAAACTATAGTTTCAAACTTTAGTTTACTATAGTTTGAAATAGACACCATGGTGACTGTTATGATTTAACTTTATGCAAAGAGCTTAGAATGACCAAGAGCAAAAGCCCCGGATTTCGCCATTTTGAAGTGAAAGCGATCGGCCGTTTATTGGATCTCATTGCTGTCGCGATGGAAAGCAGTTGCTTTGTTTTTATTTAATATATTCAAAAAGCGTGTTATTGTTTCCCAAATTGTAGAGTGTCGCCTCTTGGTGATTCTATGCTCTTTGCTCTTTGTCTGACTGTTGTAATGTTTTGCTTTGTTTTTCAGCTAAGCTGTTGAGCAAAGAAGGACTATTGAAGAAAACAGTTGAAGACAATCGCAGGTTATATTCACGAGCGCGCGCGTTATAATGTTTCCGGGTTGTTTTCTGAAAGTTTGTCTTGTTTGCATGTCAAACTAAATAAACTATACTCTTTCTAAACACCTGTCTCGTGTTTTACTTGTCCTCTACAGCAATGCACTGTCATGTAAGTCTGTTGAATGCATTTGTATGCAACATGGTTTGACAATACTGTAGTCTAACAAATAAATGGTTGTTTTATATGTACCTTCATTAGTCAACATTTGGTGTAGGTAATGAAAAGTTAATCAAAGATTTCCTAAGACATAAGGGTTATGTTATGGTTGTTTAATAACTATATTTAATATTATTCTGTATGAGCAAATTGTATATATATTTAACATGTCATGAACTTACTATTTTTTAAAAATTTGCTTAATAAAATGTCCTAAGACAAGAATGGGTGTTTTGGTTTTATGGCAACCTACAGTAGGATTAAGGTTGACTACAGCAGGTATAGGCTACACACATCATAGGGAGTTTTTTTTAATGACCCAAATCAAGTAAAACGTCTCTTACTCAAGTACTTTTAGCATGCAAAATGTAAATTTAAGTATATAAAATACAGTTTCCAACAACAAAATTTTGTCTTGTGAAAAAGACCAGTGTGGTGGTGAGGAAAAAAAGTAATATCAAGTTATATATATTTATAAAAGAAGTTAAAAAAGTGGTCATAATATTTAGTCATTAGATCATGTGACCGCTAGATGGCGCTCAATTAAAAGGAGCGTTCATTTCAAAGGAGCGCTACCCTGTACTAAAATGGCGGCTCTATTGACGCATTCCTTCCAAACGTTGCCTATATTACTGCCTTAGGCCAGTAACTTGGGCAGTAATCAAAGTAATAATAAATGTGAATAAATAGCCTAAATGAAAGAAACAAGACACCAAAACCAGACACCAGGTCTAGTGCCCCCCTATGGATTTAAAGTTTTGACTTCCTGGCGCCGGGCCTGGATCAGAGAAAGCTTCCTCCTATTAAAGGGCTGACCCCCCCCCCATACATCTTGTGTTGATACGGTTTGAATCCTCCTCAAACACCCCTATATTTCGCACCCTGGCTGCTTCCCATACCATTAACTTACACCGCAAGAGCCAGAAAAACGTTTAAGGTTGTATACACCGAAGATGGATCGAGGTAATTATGTGGTAATTTTAAATTTGGGGTGAAACATTTCTTTAAAGTTAGCACTTTCGACCATCTGTAATGGGGGAATGAATGTATCTATAATTTGTACATATTCAGAAATAGTAGTGTTACATAAGGTTAGAGTCTAGATTTAAGTATTAATTTGGCGCGAATTCATGCGTTTGACGCCAACGCACATTTCCCATCACGTGGTCCAACTCCAAAACAACTTTATCCTTTCATCTCGGCGATCCACGACTAACTGCTGCCCTCCAGTGGCAGTTCCTAGACTAGCAGTCACAACAAACACATAACCACCAAATCCTCTTAACAAAGCTTAATTTATTAATACATTTGTTTAGAAACATTAATACCTTGTTCACAAACCACATTCGTGCATAATCCATCGGTGATGCACCACACTGGAATGTCACTGATTGAGTGTTGTAGATCATGATGTTTAAGGACATCAGAAATAAAATGGCAGCAGTTTTAGCAGACAGCACAGAATAAACTGAGAGCAACAAAAACATTGTAAGTTTTACTGCATAGAATGACTTTCATATCAAATTAACAAAGAGTGTCAGTGTGTGAATCTGCGATATGTCAGCACGAAATGTAGGCAAGGTTTTAGCAATTCTTAATCATTAGCAAATTTGTCTTCAGTTTACACTTCACAATGACCAGTACTGTGAACTACAGTGAAGCTCTAGTGATGAGGAAATTATAAGCATTAGACCGTGATAATATTTTTAAACAAAATGATGTCCAGTTCTGCTAAGTCAGATCTAAAATATCCAGTAAGCTAGAAGAGGATAAATGGTGCACTCCCAAACATATCGGCCATCTTGGTATTTACCAACAACTGAAAGAGTACCAGCTCAACTGGAAGAAAAATACCAGAGCAATTTCACCCAAAAGCAAAGCTATTTTAACATTTAATCCATAAAACACACTAGCACTTGTTTTAGGCAAAAACATCTTATCCATTTAGTACTAGTGCTTATTCATTAGTTTATAGCACTTACTCTTTAGGTACTAGTTCAATTCTTTAAAATTAACTAGTAATTATGTATTATTCATTAGATACTAGCACCAATTAAATAACTAATATAAAAAAACTAATATATTTTTAATAAATAACAATATATACAAAAACTAGTATGTAATGATAAGAATATGTTTCTTATTAAAGTGTACAAGTACCCTATTTACTTTTTATTATAATAAAATATTTACTAGTCAGAACTTAATATTTGATCCCTCAGTGGCAGATCAATAAGGTCAATGGTAAAATACAGAATAGCTACTAGTTACTGTTAAAAGAAGTACTTGCATCTATTTAATAGGTACTATTACCTAACAACTACACCTATCTCATAAGTTTTAGTGCAGTTCCTGGCAAAAGTCTTTTCGTTGATCTCAGTTGTAAGAGCAACAAATAATAACTTGACTTCTAGTTGATCATTTGGAAAAGATGCAGAAGGTAGATTTTTGAGATGAATCATCTGCTGAACTGCATCCCAATGATCACAAATACTGCAGAAGACCTATTCGAACAAGCATGGACCCAAGATTCTCACAGAAATCAGTTAGATTTGGTGAAGAAAAAAATCATGGTTTGGGGTTGCATTCAGTATGGGGGCGTGCAAGAGATCTGCAGAGTGGATGGCAACATCAACAGCCTGAGGTGTCAAGACATTCGTGCTGCTCATTACATTACAAACCACAGGAGAGGACAAATTCTTTAACAGGATAGTGCTCATTCTCATACTTCCCATAGTTCCTGTAAGCAAAGAAGGTTAAGGTGCAAGAGGATTGGCCAGCCCAGTCACCAGATATAAACATTATTGAACATGTCTGGGGTAAAATGAGGGTAAGATTATTTGAGGCATAACAGAGATGTATGGATGCAGTCCTCCAAGCTTATGGGAGTCATACACAATATTATTTTTTCCCCTTTATATTCTATACTGTACATTATTTCTGTTAAGGGACAAGACTTTTGTCTAAGCAAAGTTACTGTCCTAATTAAATAATTAAAAATTAAGGCATGATCTTATTTTATTTTGGTAAAATAAGCGTAATCTAGAGGCCTTTGCCCTTCATATAAGCCACTTCTGGTATTTGTTCCTCCTAAAACTGGGATCAACAACAAAACTTTTGTCAGGCAGTGTAAATAATTACTGAGTATTAGTGTCTACTTACTAAATCAAGGTATCTAACGAATGAGCACTAGTATCTAAAATGTTTATTAGTGAGACAAAAATAGATACTAGTGTGGTTTATAAATTCCATGTTAAAACGGCTTGCCATACTGCTATTTCAGTGACTGCATCTATAAAGTTTCATGATAAAAGAAAGACTCTGTGTGTCCAACATGGACAATTGCACACCAAACTGCATCATGAAAAGTGCAAATGTACAAATAACTACTAGTATTATCCATCTGATTATGAGTTACATTTGGCACATTAAAATCACATTTACTGACGTTCAGCAGATTTTCAGGGGTGAAATTCTGTCATTTCAACAGCAATACGTCATCGGGTGTCCCACAAAAAGGGTTAAATATGGCCCCCCAAGCAAATTTTGCAACAAATTTGCCACACTGACTTAGAGAAAGCTGCTTGGTTTGACTTTTGCGTGAGCTGTGCTTTATAGTACACTGCTAAACTATCGATCTTTGCTTAACATATTTTTTCTGAAATTTCCCAAAGTGACCACAATTTTACCCTGTGAGATTTCTATGCTGTTTCTATTTAGAAGTTAATACTTCTTAATACTTCATGGCACGAAAGCAGCTGGTAGAGGGGGAAAAAAATATACGGACTCGTTCCAATAATACTTATCATACAAAATAAACAAAGTAACCCTGTAACCAAAATAATCAGCAGATATGATTCCATACAAACTTACAAACTCATCTGACATTAAAAAATAAAAACAATTGGAATATCGCATAAATAATTAGCGAATAAAGAATCCTTCCCATGTGCTCAACAAAACAAAATGGTCACTTCCTGGGAAACCGATGCAAAAATTCAGTGATAATAAAAAAGGAAGTTGCTGCAACCGGGGAAACCACTGTAGCTCTATTGTCATACATAGTAAAAGAGTTTTGCGAATGACACACAATAACAAACGCTGTCATGTTATCCTGCAGTCGGCCTTAAACCAAATCATTTTGATGACAGACTTTGGCTTAGGCGTTTTAGAAGGACTAAAACAACATTTGAGCTGGTGTGCGTTGCGATTGGTCAGTCCATTTATCCAATCACATGATCTGTTGAGCTTGTTGATGCGCGACGATGAATTTATTCAAACAAATGTTGCTCCATCATAGTTCAAATTCAGGTTTTCTTTTATAAAATATTATATACCTTTTTTTTAATTTTATGCAGATCTTCGGGTTTAAAGGGTGTGATATGCATTAGTGTTATCCTGTAGAAGCAGTTATGATGTTTTAGAGTAGACTGTTATAACGATTGTTCAAAGTAATGTCAGTAGTAAAGCAAGCAGAGAGGTCTCGGTTGGCACAGTCTTCACCTGCACCTAGATTACCACCCAGATTTCAGCCCCAACAGAGCACATAGTCGTCCCGTGTACATACTGTCCTGGCAGATTTAATCCAGTTAGGCCTGTGTAAACGAGGTTTCGTTTAATAATTACCTTATGTGGCCTCTCTGTTAATAACAGAGCTAAATGGCACTTTCTGGAGGCTGGGAGAGGTGTGTGTTTGTGAGGCAGTCAGGCTTTAAGATGAAAAGTTTCCAGCACCTGTGAGCATCAGGATTCAGGCTTATATCAGCGTCTGTCTGTCACAGCTCAGCCCTCGACAGGTGTGAAGAAGAGACCTGCTGCCCAGGACTTTTAGTCATAATGGCTTGTCAATAACTGACACCCCTGAAACAGACAAGAGCGCAGTTTAATTCAAGTTTTAGCTGATCGGTGGAGCATAGAGGTTGTGAGAAGGAAACAGACCTGCGTAACTACGGCCGTTGCTCATGTTGGTGGGGATGAGACTCCATTTATCAGCAGCAGGGTCGTAGTATTCAACAGAGGACAGGTTACACGACCCATCGTCCCCTCCAATCACATACAGTAAACCGTTTATGGCACACACTCCTAGAGACAAACACAGTAACTACATTCACAATGGTTTTAAAGGTCTTACAATACATCCAGTAGCTGACTTTCATAACAGGAACTCCTGTAAATGTCTATTTATAAATGTGTGCTTTAGCCCTTACAATGAAACCATGGAGTCATTATAGCCTGGTATAGATTTTTTTTTTAAACTGTAGTTCTACCATAACATGAATGTGTAATTCATTTAAAATGTCAATAATTGCATAATATGCTCACCAGCCACTTTATTAGGTACACCTGTCCAACTGTTCGTTAACGCAAATTTCTAATCAGCAAATCACATGGCAGCAACTCCAATGTATTTAGGCACGTAGACATGATCAAGATGATCTGCTGCAGTTCAAACTGAACATCAGAATGGAGACTAAAGGGGATTTAAGTGACTGGTTGTTGGTGCCAGATGGGCTGGTCTGAGTATTTCAGAAACTGCTGATCTACTGGGATTTTCACACACAACCATCACTAGGGTTAACAGAGAATGGTCCAAAAAAAAGAAAATATCCAGTTAGCGGCAGCATAACCGAGGTATGCAGAAGAGCATCTCTGAATGCACAACACGTCCAACCTTGAGGCGGATGGGCTACAGCAGCAATAGACCACAACGGGTGCCACTCCTGTCAGTTAAGAACAGGAAACCGAGGCTACAATTCACACAGGCTCACCAAAATTGGACGATAGAAGATTGGAAAAATGTTCCCTGGTCTGATGAGTCTCGATTTCTGCTGCGACATTTGGATGGTAGGGTCAGAATTTGGCATGAACAACATAAGAGCATGGATCCTGCCTTTTTTCAACAATTCAGGCTGGTCGTGGTGGTTTAATGGTGTGGGGGATATTTTCTTGGCACATTTTGGGCCCATTACTACCAATTGAGCATCGTGTCAACGTCACAGCCTACCTGAGTATTGTGGCTGACCATGTCCATCCCTTTATGCCCACAGTGTACCCATCTTCTGATGGCTACTTTCAGCAGGATAACACGACATGTCATAAAGTGTGAATCATCTCAGACTGGGTTCTTGAACAAGACAATGAGTTCACTGTACTCAAATGGCCTCCACAACCCCCAGATCTCAATTTAATAGACAAACTTTGGGATGTAGTGGAACGGGAGATTCACGTCATGGATGTGCAACCGACAAATCTCCAGCAACTGCTTGATGCGCTCATGTCAATATGGACCAAAATCTCTGAGACATATTTTTAGTACCTTGTTGAATCTATGCCATAAAGGATTAAGGCAGTTCTGATGGTAAAATGGGGTCCAACCCGATACAAGGTGTACCTAATAAAGTGGCCGGTGAGTGTAAACATTCATAATTTAACCATTAATTTGACCAAAAAGATGTAGAGCAATTTTTTCAAAATGCTTTCCAATACAATACTAATGAATTACTTTTGATGTGTAGTAATGAGACTGTAGCCACTGAGACTCATATGTTTTCACAATTATGTAATCATGGAAAGGTATTTGAACAATGTCGTAAGCTAGCTTTCCACTGTGTCGAAACAGACTCATTGCACATTAGGTCATTACGTGAAACTAGAAAATCAATTTTTCCATCATACAGTTGAAGGTCAAATTATTAGCCCTCCTCTAAATGTTTGCTTTTCTAATATTCCCAAGTGATGTTTAAACAAAGCAAGGTAATTTACCAAAAGGATCACCCAAAAAAACACACCATATGGCTTCAGTGGTTTTTTGTGCACATAAAACAAAAATAATGACTTAATTCAACAGATTCTTCACCTCGGTGTCAGGGTGCATGCTCCTGAGATGAGTCTCATAGCCTGTAATATTCAGATTATTATTGGATATTAAACAAGCAGGGACCATTGCTGTCTAGAGGATGAGAAAGCTTTTTAGATTTCAATGTAAAATATCTTCACTTGAATTGCTAGGATGAAAAAGGTCTCAGGGAGTTGGAATGGCATGAGGTAATGAGTAATTAATAATATAATTATCATTTTTGGGTGAACTAACCCCTTAAAAATTTATTTATTTGATAGTTTTCAATTTTCCACTGTTGTCTAGTGACTTAATTATCATAGTTAAGTCTTTAAGTTGCACTTTAAACTATAAATACTTCTACAAACATAAATAGTAAAATACTACCTATTATCATAATGGCTATGACAAAATAAACCAGTTATTAGAACTATTATGTATTCATTCATTCATTTTCATTTCGGCTTAGTCCCTTTATTAAACCGGGGTCGCCACAGCGGAATGAACCGCCTACTTATCCAGCATGTTTTTACACAGCGGATGCCCTTCCAGCCACAACCCATCACTGGGAAACATTCAAACACACTCATTCACACTCATACACTACAGTCAATTTAGCCTACCAAATTCATCTGTACGGCATGTCTTTGGACTGTAGGGGAAACCGAAGCACCCGGAGAAAACCCATGCGAATGCAGAGAGAACATGCAAACTTCACACAGAAACGCTAACTGACCCAGTCGAGGCTCGAACCAGTGACCTTCTTGCTGTGAGGCGACAGCACTACCTACTGCGCCACTGCGTCCCCTCTATTATGTATTAAAACATTTTTTTTAAAATACCTGAGAAATATTTGACAACTATTGTCTAATAATAGGGCTAATAATTTTGTCTTCAACTATATGTCCCCCTCCTTTCCTCTAATGACTCACCTGCATTCCTTCGACACATGTTCATGTCACACACCTGTCTCCAGGTGTTTGTTGTGGGATCATAGACCTCTACACTCTTCCTCACCAGAGGCCCATCATGCCCACCTGCAGCATACAGCTGTCCACTGAGCACTCCAACACCTGCACAGAGAAACCACATCAGATTATAATCGGATGTAAAAAGTACAGGTAAGCTTTATGGACAATAAAAGTATGTGCAAAATAATAATAATACCAACCAGCTCCACTGCGTCTAGTGCTCATGTCTGACACATAACACCACTTATTACTGACTGGGTTAAACTCTTCTACAGTACTCAAACACTGCCTAGATGCTCCATCATATCCTCCAACAGCATATAGCTTTCCTGTAGAAAAATCAGATGTATTATATGATGTCAATACACAAACAAGTGTGGGCAATGAACAGCTGCACAGTTAAACATAGAACAACAACAGCCTTAAGGTAAAATGTTGTGAAATCATCACTATTGCAAAATCATGTCATTCTAAACTTTTCATTGCTGCATAACTCATTTCATTAACAAGTATGTGCTTGAAATATTAATACAGAGATTTGCTTTACATAAGAACTCAAAATGCTCACCGTCAACTACGCCCACCCCGACACTGCTACGCCTGGTGTTCATGGGAGCCACAAACATCCACTCGTTAGCTTTGGGATTGTACGCCTCCACTGATGAAAGCCCTGCACAGACATGGAGCTGTGTTCATGAGCAATTCTAATTGCCCAATTTTTTGAAAACAACACTAATTTGAAACATTTTAAACAACTTTTTTTTAATCCAGTTTAGATCCACACAGAATCTGGAAACACAGAAACCTGCATGTGATGTACATATACACTGATATTCAAATACAATAAAGCTAGATTTTCTGTCTTTTAGTAGATTTATTAGACTTGCTTTGTTTACCAGACAAGTGCATCTAATTAAATATGTTTTGTGAACCTTAACCCTTATCTATGTTGGGGATGTTTTTATCCACTCAGGGGTGATTTTGAGTCTTAATTCGGCCATAACTTTTTCTGTGTTTCAGCTAGCAGAATGATTTTTGATGACAAATCTTATGCTTTCAAATTCAAATGCTTTGAATTAAAAAAAATATATTAATGTTAAAATACGTGATTTAGTGTGTTTTTCCACCAAATCAGAAACATTGTTTGTAAAATTGTCAATTAAAGAATTCCTTTAATTGCAATTTAAAAAGCCAATAAAAAAAATCCAGTTATTTTCGAAACAAGTTAGTAGTTTTGGTCAGGACTTAGGTTGATTAGGAAGAAATATATTTATCTTATGCATTTTTACAGCCGTTTAGTTGACAAAAGTTAATTTAATACAGTGCACAATGGTTAAATGAAAGTTTAAAAGTTTATTATTTTTTTCGTGTTTTAAGTTTTTAGTTACAATACTCCCAAAATTATTCCGCATAATTCTGCTTATTTTTTTTACTAAAATATGTAGAGATTTAGCAAAATATTTCAGCAGATTTTGTCTGGCCCTACCTATCGATAAGCCCTTTTCATTGAATGCAGACAAACTAAAGGCAATTGAAAATGGGAAATATTTAGGTTTTAGCACCATAGAGGAACACTGGAAGAGCCAAAGCATTTTTGTTTGATGCTGTTTGGGCCATAAAAATTATCAAATGATGTGCCGGGTTACTCGTAACACTGACTACATATGTCCTGAGAGGGTGGGCAATCTGTAAATTATCAAAAATTGACATTTGTAAACACTTACATGCAAATAAAACTTGTTATTCACCATAATAATTTTTAAATATTTTATATGTGACCCTAGACCACAAAACTATTTTTGTGTTTTGGCAATAGTCAAAAACACATTGTATTGGTCAAAATTATATAATTTGTCTTTGATGACAAGAATCATTAGAATATGAAGATAAGGTTCTATGAAGATATGTAAATTTCCTACTGTACATACATCAAAACTCAGTAATACATTTTTGATTAGAAATGTGCATTCCTAAGCACTTCATATAGACAAATTTACTGGTGATCTCCTCAGTATGGACACTTTTCACAAGACACATTTAATGGTCATCATAAATCCTTAAAGGTTTTTCTAATATTTAAATTTTTTAAAAATATATTTACATGTATATATATTTACATATTTATTAAATCATTTAAGGCATTTGAAATTCTCTTTTCAGACTGTCGCTATCTGTCTCACACACTATTTTTTTGCTTTTCCTGAAAGTCTTGATAACACCATCATCTAGTTTTTCTTTAATTATTTCAGCTAAATAAGATTGTAAAAAAAAATTTTTAGGTTTACCCAACTATGAGGACTTCCTTTACTGGGAAACCTAGAAATGTGAAAAGGGTCCATTTTGACTTGTTTTGAACTTCACACTGCAGATTTTCACTAAGTTGTATCTCTGTCAAATTTCATCATATCCTAACAAACCAGTGCAAACCTTATTTCAGCTTTCAGATGATGTATAAAAATCAAGTAAAAAATACATTAAACTGGGTTTTGTGGTTCAGGGTCACATATATCATTTTATGGCATATTTAAATCCCACCTTAATGCTCCTCAATAAGTGGTGGTCCTTCTCTGTCCAAAATATTTGAGAATAATCTCAGGACAAGGTTTTTATACTGACAGCTGCCATTGTAAAACAAATGAAAACTCTGTTTGTCAGGGATAGCAACAGTAAATAAGGAAGTTAGGGCTCACCAATGTCCAATCCAGGATAAAATATTTATTCAAAACCAAACCTTAACAACACTGAATTTGTAAACATATCCTGACTGTATACCTGTACTCCCATCAAAGCCTCCGACAGCGTACAGCAGGTCCCCCAGTACTGCTGCTCCTAAAGTGCTGCGGCGCTCTTGCATGCTGGGAATGGAGCTCCACTGATCTTTTAGTCCATCGTACACATCAACCGTCCGCACTCGCAGAGAGCCGTTAAATCCCCCCACAGCATACACCTTACCGGCCATATACACCACACCTGAATGACATACACACGGAGAGGGTCAGAGCAAGAAAAGAAACGGCATGTAGATATGAGGAGCAGAACAAAACACAACCTGCTCGACAGCGTCTGGATGGTAAGTCGGCCACCTGGTACCAGCGGTCCTCTTGAAAGTCATAACACTCCACACTGCGGATGGCCTTAGGTGCTTGACCCCCTACCACCATCATTACCTGCAAGATTCATAAAAAACATTCAGCCATCTTCTCATGATCTTTTCCAAGTGAAGTGAGAAGTTACACAATGACTTATAGTGTCATTCACAATAAACAGTATTAATTATAAACATCAAGCCTAAACACATTTAATTCAAAACTGAAACTAGCAGTGTGTGAGAAATGTGCTATACAAATACTCACACACCTCTCTCTTATTTGGCATTAGTCTTTGCATGTGTATGTTTGCCCGAAGGTATTTACATTATATACTGTATTGCTTAGAAATACAAGTTACAGCATGACTTAATCAATAATAACACTAAAGATGACAGTGAAATGTTATTACTGTACAGCTGAAGTGAAAAACTGTAATGCAAACTGTGCTTTTAACGATAAATTCCAAAGAGCAATAAAGATGAATAGTGAAAGAAATAAAAGCTAGAATGCATTCTAACAAGAATTCTTTAATAAAAAAGACAAATAAAATTCACGGAACCTTTTAATCAAAACCTGCATCCAAATTTGCAGCTGATTCATACATACCAGGCTAATGCGTCCTAATTCTAATCCAGCCAAATTCTCATTTCATTTCAATTGAATTCATCTTTATTTCTATGGCGCTTTTACAATGTAGATTGTGTCAAAGCAGCTTAACATAGAAGATTATAATAGACTGAAGCTGTGTCAGTCCAGTTTTCAGAGTTGAACTTCAGTTTAATTCAGTTCAGTGTGGTTTAATTTTCACTGCTGATGTTCAAACACTGAAGAGCAAATCCATCAATGCGCAGCTCCACAAGGCCCAAACCAATCAAGCCAGTGGCACACACATCACACATTTAAAATCAGCTATGAAATCTACATTTTTCTTCATCTCAAACTCCATTAATATACATATTTATCCAATGTACCTCTCTTAAAGAATTATAAGTAAACTATCATATTAAATATGTGTCTAAGTGAAAGCGGTTTTCAGGCATCGAAACAATTGAAACAAGAAATTTATTTTTTCCACAGATTCCTGTTTTTGGAGCAAAAACTAAAGATTTCCAGAAGAAATATATGCAACAAAAGTTTATGAATTAAAACAAACTGTCAGGCATACACTACCTGACAAAAGTCTTGTCGTCAATCTCAGTTGTAAGAGCAACAAATAATAACTTGACTTCTAGTTGATTATTTGGAAAAGTTGCATATGATCATCAAGGCATGAAATGATCATTAAGGCATGATCATATTTTATTTACAATAAGCTTAATTTAGAGGCCTTTGCTTTTTATATAAGCCACTTCTGATACCAAATGATCTTCGAGAGAAGTTATCAGGGCTCGAAATTAACCTTTTTGCTTGGTAGCACCGGTGCTCCTAACTTTAAAAATTTTGGCGCATCAGCCAAAATTTAGTCGCACCCACCAATTATGAGCACCGTTACTACAAGTTTTATACAAAAATATTTATTGTATTTGAAATCAACACTAATCAAACTAACAAGCAAAAAATCATGTATAACGTTATATGCAAGCGTGAGGAAAATATGTCTCAACAAAATCCCGTTATCACAAGAAAATAAATTTTTATAACAGAACTGAGTGACCAAAGCATACACGAAGCACTCGCTGGCCCTTCACGCACTGCTTGAATTAATCTGTTAACGGTATAACTGTGCTGTTCTCACAAGTGCTGTCGGATATTGCACTGATGCTTTTGACATATACTGTGCCCTATTATATGCATACATGTTAATAGCAATACCGGTCTTTTTAGGAGTAGCGATGTTAGTTTACTCAGTGTAAGCCCGTTTGCGATGGTGTACGTGGTGTTAAATTTGACATATAGCTGCCACTTACACGGCGGACAGCATCTGGCGATTATATGAAGGATTAAACAGAAGCTCTCGTGCTAGATGTGCCAAACAGTTACCTGAAAATTCCATCCCACAGAATTTTCATAGCGGACTTGAAGCCAATGGAAGTCTTCTACTCTTAGAAAAGTGTAGATGGTGGATTAACATTCAGCACATGATCACTAGTAAGATGTGTCATTATTTGTAACTGTAGGTGCCATGGTTTCTCAAACAAAATCTGTCAGTGTTATGCTATCTTCATTCTCATCTTCAGCGCTTTACAATTTTTCGCGGAAGTAGCTCTCTGTCATCCAAAGCCATAAGGCGCTGAGTGATTGACAGCTGATATTAACCAATCATTCGCGTTCAGTGCTAGAGCAGTGGTGGGCCAATAAGAAGAGTGCGAAGGCGGGGCAAGCATTACGGACTTGGATTTGTTTACTGCAGCAAGTTGACATGACAACTGTTTTAAACAATTCCTGAGCACTGCGTTTCGCGTTTCAAGTGCAGACAAAGAGCTTAGAGATGCATTCTGCGTGAATGTCTCCCGAATCCACGCATGTGGTGAACATTTTGCAGTAAAAACTGGTCGCACACAACAATTTTAAGTACTCGCAAAAATGCTCCCAAATATATTTTAAGGTCGCACAGATAAAATTTCGGGCGCATATGCGACCAAAATGGTCGCAATTTCGAGCCCTGAGTTATTATTTGTTGTTCCTAAAATTGGATAGGTGACAAGACTTTTGTCAGGTAGCGTATTTAAAACAAGGATAGGTTGATGTACAGCTCTGAATATAGCAATCATCTGTTATGTTACAAATCTTTATACTTAGTCACTCTCCTTTTTAAACGATTAAATTAAACCAATAAATTACTTTTTCAGCAAGAGCTTTTCATCGTTAAAAGTAAAATCAGTTATTATTAGATTTTTGTGCTCAGTATATTATTACCTTGGGCAGGCTGATTGGTGTGCGTGGTCTTGTTCTGTCAGTCTTTATAAGGTGCCGCTGGTCTGCAGGTAAAAGGTGGTACTTCATCGCCTCAATGAGAAAGTCCTTACAAGTATTGTTGTTTTTTATTAAAGGTTCCTCCTCCACAATCTGTACAAATGCACAATCATGTACTAAAAATAATGCTTGAAGAAATTATGCACGAATAATGCTTGGATCATACCTGAACCAAGTAATCTCTGGACAGTAAGGGAAGTCGAACATGCTCCATGAGTTTTGGCATGTGCTCTAAACGGGCCTCTTTATCGTGCTTTATCCAGGCAACCATGGCCTCAAAAACCTGGCGGTGGAACAGATATTATGTTTTTCTCTGCATAATGTATGAGTGCAGCCCACAGCCACAGCAGGTCAGGCTGCCACCCTCCTCTGTCTGTGCCACTGCTCAGATGACACTGAAACATCTGACAGCTGCCATCAAGTGTGTGTATGTGTGTGCGTGTGCAGACTGGAGACACAAGTTACTCGTAAGCAGAGAGCAGCTAATGCAGTGTGACTGACAGATGGCTTGTCATCTCCTTCAGCACTGCACCAGCATGTACATGTAAAACCCAACTATCAATCGTCTGCTGAGTACAAATCATGCAAGAATATGTAAAAAAAACTGTCTGTGATTGAGAAGCACAATATGCAGATGTAAATGTATTAAAAGATAACATCTGAGTCAAAACACTTGGGTTTTTGTGTGTTACCTTCTCTTCAGTTGACACAGTCAGTTTGTCACTAGAGATCAGACTGCACACCTGCTGTAAGGACAGGGCCATAAACTCCTCGCCAACCATGACGTCTGTGAAGTGCTGCTCTGCTTTAATCAAGCAAAACACACTCAAAAAAACTAAACTGTACGTCAACATAAAAAGACATATCGGTGGGTTGCTTAATCGCCAAGCTGTTCCAAACTTCCCACAATGCATGAAGAAAGATGAGAGCTCACCGGCATAAGCGTGGGCCTGGCTGAGAAGTACTGTGCAGGCGTGAAGGTCAGCGAATGCTCGGATGCCCAAGCAGTTGGTGGGATGAAGCTGTGTCTGCAGGAAGTCACAGCAAACCTGTCGAACATCCATCAACTGCAGCAGACTGGCAGCTGGCAGCAACACCTGAACACAGCAGGGATAAACACATCACAAATACTAAACTATAAAAAAAGACATCACACATACTATGAATTGGTATAATGTGTGTACATTCATATACATTCAGTTTTTAAATTAATTTCAGTAATATTATTGACTTATATAAAATGTTCATTTGATTTATTTACAATACAGTTTATGGTCTTTTGGTAGATATATTAATATATTATATGAGAGACCTGCTTTGTTTACCAAATAAGAGGATCTAATTGGATTTGCATTGTAAAAATTAAATAAAAGTTAAAAAGCTTTTTTTTTCATTATATATTACGTTTTTACTTATTATGATAATATGAGACTCCCAAAATAATTCCGCATAAATCTGCAGATTTTTTACAAAATCTCCATGGAAATGGCCCAAAATTTCCGCAAATCCCATGTGGCCCTACTGATAACACAATAAGTTATGAAATGATGACTAGACTTAAATGCAAAAGAGTTGTGCGTTACATTAATGCACAGACATACAGAACTGAAATCATTTCTGAAATAAGTATTTTATCCTCAAGAAGACTGCATTAAATTGGTAAATAAATATGTTGTAATATTACTATCATTTTAAAAAATATATCAGTTTAATTTCAAATAATTGTTTTAAAATGTTTTTTTCTGTGATCCAAAGCTGATGTTTCAGCAGATATTACTCCAGTTTTCACAGCAGAACATAACATGATCTTCAGAAGTAATTTTATGATAGTTAACTACTGACTATTTTTATATTATCTAGTAGGGCTGCACAATATATTGTTTGAGTTTCGATATTGCAATATGTGCATCTGCAATAGTCACGTAGCAACATTTGCAATTACAGTTGACCAAAAAAAAAAAACACAGGAGATTAATGGAGACACTGTAGAATTTAACACTAATAATAGAGTGAAGGTTTATCATCTGCATATGTTTTTAAGGCCAGTGACTATGTGAGCATTTTTAGTGAGTTTAAAGCATTTTAGTAGTGCATAAAAGTTTTATTATTTATATGATGAAGACTATGCAGTAATTTTTTACATTTGATTGTTTAATTTTTGTACCTGTATACTGTTACTCTCTCCAGAATGCATGGTTTATTTCACTTTAATATGTGTTCTATCGTGTTTATGACTGTAGTTTGTTTATTATACATATATAATAAATTGCATAAATATATAAATTTATATTTCACCAAAATCACCTCATGCTGTAAAAAATACAGTAGTGCACACAATTCATTCATGTGGTCTCAAGGCAAATCGATTAAGTTTACTTAACAAATTCAAATTAATTTGACATAAAACAAATATAATCTCAAGAATTGTGTTGTTTTAGCCCATTAAAAAAGTTTATTTGAAGAAGCAGCAAAATAATTCTTTTGAGTGCAGTCAATCTTAAGTAATGACTTTGCAAATAGAGCTAATTGTAAATATAAAAAAATGAAAAAATATAAAATATTTATATTTTTTGCTTGTTCAACCTACTTATTTAAAATAAGCTGAAACAACACAATTCTTGAGATTTCATTGGAACAACTTGAATTTTTTATGTTTAATCTACATAAATTTGCTAAAAGTGCTAGGTTAACTTAATCGATTTGTGGTGAATGAATTGTGTGGAATCCTGCATTTTTACAGTGTATATTGCAGAGAAAAAAATCACTTTCAAATTTCAAATTTTCCCAATATCGTGCAGCCCTGTTATCTACGTTTAACAAGTTCATAATTTTTGCCAAAACTGTTTTTAAAAGAACAGCATTTATATGACATTGAAATTTGAAATTGAATTTGATTCATTTAATGCATCTTCAACCTAATCTAAGTACACATTTATTTTTTTTAAATAAAACAAAACAAACTTCTCAGAATTTCCCAGACTTTGCATGGTAAGGTCTATATTAATATAGACAGAAATACCAATGGCTATTATTGTAATTACAATAATACACATAACATCAGTTATACTTCAAGTAAACAGTTAATAAATACATTTAGTTATTAGCAAACCATTACACATGTGTTTCAAACCTAGTGCCAACTGATATACTGAATGAACTGTGATAATAATTAGAGGTATGAATGAAATGAAGGCAGCAGCAGCTACTTAAAATACAAGTAAAGGCCACAGGGAAAAACGACACTAAATTAGATAAAAGCATCTGCTCTTGACCATCTTGTGTTGCCTGTGTCCATGTTCTTTCTAGTAAAAGAAAGAAAATGGCCTAAAGGGATATACAACACAGGGCGTATCACAGCACTGAATGACATAGTAAAAATCCCCAATGACCAACTAAGTCATAAACAGCCACTACCCCCCACTGAAGCATCTGCCCATGCTCTCCAGATGAAAACTAGGCCACTTCATGCTATTCTTGAACAAATGGCACGAAGCTTCTAAGATCATCTGTTCTCTTCTTCTACACAAAATAAGGCCCACACGCAAGCAACAGAGCACACAGGGACAATAGAGCTCCAACACAAAGGGCAAAGAGCAAATCGCAGAAAACTTCCTCTGCCTCTCTGCTCATTTCCTTTGCTAAAAATGAGAGGAAATACCCTTCACGAAAGCTCCAAAAGCAAAAAGTGCAATCAGCTTTTATACAAACAGCTGGTCACTTTTAATGTTTGAAACATTACAATGTATATGTGAGTGTTGTCTTACCTGAACGTTTTCTTCAGACACTTCTATCTCAGCAGAGTAAATATAATCCACCAGCTTTAAGAGCGTCTGTCCGTCAACATCCCTGATTTCGACATGATTAGCTTTGCTTTCACTCATGTCACCTGGATACAATAAACACAATGCAGAATTAGGCTTTGTTTACACCAGGTATTAAGATGCACACTGATACAGATTTCTTTGAAGAAAAGGCCTGTGATCAGGTTACAATTGTAGTCAAATGTATTATTCCTTCTGGGAAGATTTATTATTTTTTATATTTATCAAGTAATATTTCACATTTTTTTCCAACACATTTTAAAACTTTCTCATTTTACATGATTTCTGCAGGTTTCACCAAGTTAGATTTAAACTATTTTAAGACAATTATGAATGAAATTTAAGACTTATGCAGGGCTAAATGCTAAGTTTTTTTAAATTTCCCAGTTAGAAAAGATTTTCACTTGGCCAATCAAAAAATAATTACAAATTAATACATTTAATAATACAATAATTATACATTTGTAGAATATTTTTTATTCATTTTCAAATATATCCATTCACAAACCCTATATCCCGTACCAACAATAGAATAAAACATAGCAGTCAAATACTTCAGTCAACATTAATAATAATTTAATAATAAAAACTATAGGTCAGCTCAGTATCCTCAGTAAAAAAAAAAGTAGAACTTTTAAGCAAATGTTACTGTAGGAAAAGTAAAGAAATGCTATTTTTAAATAAAAAGTTAAACGTTTTATTGAGATGGATTGTTGGTCATTGTATGAGTGTTAATGGCCAACTGTTTCTTTTGTTTTTGCCATGATAATAGTGCATAATATTTTTTTAGTTATTTTGCAAGATACAAGTATTCTGCTCTACCAAATGATTGACCATATTTCTACTATTTTAAATAAAGACTGTTAAAGTATTTTAAAGAATGTTGTAAAAAACAAACAAACAAGAAAACATGTTAAACAAGAATCTGAAATATTTTATTGCATACTTCAAAAAATATAGATGATTCAAAAATGTTTTATTTTGATTATGTTTGTAATAAATTGGTCTTACACCCAATTTTCTGATTTTGTATTATAAACCGACATATTTACTATTTGGTGGAGGTTGATATTTTAGAAATTATGTGATGTGTTAAAAAAAAATGCATTGAATGTGTTAACTAGCAACATTAGGAGTTAAGAAATCCAATCCAAAAATGTATTTCTTGGTGGGGCAGTTAATTAAAGTGCAATATAAAGATTTAATTAGGAAACTTAGTTTACTAGGTAAGTTATTGAACAACGGTGGTTTAGTGACATTATCACAGGAGTGCTAATCATTTTGTCTTCGACTGTGTGTATAATTTTTTCAGAAATTTCTGGAACTGTGAAATTTGTATACAAATAATGTTAAAATAGGCAAAAAAAAAAAAAAAAGATGTGGACAGCAGGAGCTTGTCGTTAATGCTCTATTAAACACAAAAATTCATCAAACTACTTCAACCGAACACTGTGCTTATTTTATTTTTTCACTTTCAAACCAAATGTACGATTTCTGACAGCAAAAATTTAAATCCCATCTTGTTATCCCACTTCAACATGGTGTCCCATAATGTTTATTAGGCCAGTTGGCAGTGAACAGGTGGCCTTTTTCTGGCTGTTGAACCACTCGACCACATGAACATCTCATTACAAAAGCAATCTGGTCAAAAGCGCTTTCGACTACCTCTGGAAAAGGACCAGAATAGCCAGTTCAAAACATTTCAGATCCCTGATATTGAGCCTTATCCACTTGTGATTGAGACAAAAACAACAAAAAACATCTTATTACCATGTACACAGTTAAAAATGAGACCTAAATATAAAGAAATGTACATCATAACATTTTTATGCAATCAACATGACTCATGAAGTAGTTTGCTAACAATTCAATCCATCTATAAAACGATAGTTCACCTACAAGTGAAGGTTTTATCATGATTTATTCCCTCTCATATTCCTCCAATCCTGTATGACTTTAGGTTTTATATAGCATATAAAAGAAGATCATTAAAAAGAGCAAATCGTGTTTGACACAAAATGAGACATAAATCCCCAATAGCAATTTTGAAGATAATTAAAGGGCAATGTTGGACATGTCTCATCACTGTAAGAGTAGCATTAGAACATGTAAATAAAGAATACCTGTGAACATGGCGCAGAAGTAAGGGCTGCAGGATGCTAAAACTACTCTGTGTGCTGGGATTTCCACTTCGCCTGCCACCAACAAAACATCACAGAGCATCTTCCGACTGTGGTTATAAAGAAATAAAAGAAAATTTAGGGGTTAGATCAAGACTGCTTTTTTCCAAAAGTAATAAAAACCTACTTAGATTTTATAAACCATTGGCGGCAGTGGTTTCCGTGATCTTACATAGATTTGAGGTAATATAAACCAGAAATACCTTGTGGACAAGCAGCCTACACCAACACAACTTATAATTAACTTCAAGTCAAGTCAGATTTATTGCATTGTTCTAAACCTAAAGAATTATTACCAAAAATACATTATAAGCCAATATGTTCATGACATAGCAGACTAGGGTTGGGCGATTTGGCTTAAAATCAAAATCTCAATTAACTGAACATCTTACCCTGATTACGATTTATGAACAAATATTTTATTTACTTAAATTTTTTTTAAGTAAATAAACTCTTTGCATAGTAATTGTGTTTTTATATTTATTTGAATAAAGGGTGCATTACTTGACTTTAAAATAATTGAAGGAAACACAAACTATCTACTATCTATGATCATTTATTGAACCTCATAAAAGGGGTCTCAAGGCATCTCTGGCGCAGCCTCCAATCATCATCAATGTAGTGCAAAAGTGCAGCGTGTAGTTACGTATTTTGAGAGGTGCGCAGGTATGCAAGCTCGTGAAGGCTGCGCCGGACCATGCCCGTGCATTTGATGCAAAAGTATAAATCTGTCTTAACAGAGCGAGATCACGTAACTCCACACACAGCAGGGAAAGTAATTGAAAAAAATTGACCTGGAAAATTTTGATCGATTATAGGTTCTGAATGTGATTACTTTTTAAATAATCGCTCAGCCCAATAGCAGACCTCACCAATCTTAAAGTTTATAAAGGCTACATAATACATACTGCCCTACATGACTATACTGTATGCATGCAAATAAAGTTGAACAAACATATAATTTTGTCCCATTTTGGTGTAAATATATGACAATCTATGGGTTTTACATGTATGTACAATGAAAAGATACATTTAAGAAAAACTGCACTTACTAAAATGACAAGTGATTTCCCCACATTCCAAAGACATGCAGTATAGGTGAATTGGATAAATGAAATTAGCAGTAGTGTGTGAATGAGAATGTATGAGTGCCAGATTAATTAATGGTTCATTCCACTGTGGTGACCCTGATAAATCAGAGACTACACTGAAGGATAGTGAGTGAGTGTTGCATGAATAAATATGGATATTATGGTATATAAACTATTGATGCACTGAACGTATAGGGTCTTAACAATTACATTTGATAGGAAAATAAAACTTCACATCAACCAGAACATTTTTGTGAAGGATCAAATTGAATATGGTACAAAACTCCAAGGCAGCTAACCTGGAAATGTCCCTATCGATGTCTGCCTCCCTGAACACCATGAAAAACAAAGGGTTGAATAACAAGTTATATCAGTTTACTAACCTTCTCAAGTCATTCATGAGCAGAAAGGCTTTCCTCATGTGTGTGTGACTGAAGGTGTGCAGCCCTGGATCTTTGGCATCGTCCTGAGAGTCCAAACTAGGCACAGGACAAGGGACTCCAAATCTAGTCAACGAATCAAAACAGACCTAATCAACTAATGCTAAATAGCATAATGTTACACCAATTCAACAACAACAAAAAACGAATCTCTTGATCTAAGGACCACCTAAATTAACGTTTAATAGTTTCCAATGACAACTTCATTGCACAGTTGTTCAACAACAATGTTATTACGGGATGACAAGAGTCAGTTTTAGACTACATCACTGCATATGGAATCAAGTTACCGAACGATTATGATAATATTTTTATTATCTCTTGAACTATGGACAAGCTAGTCTAGAACAGCATCATTTCACGTTACATAGACGAATTTGTATAAAAACCCTTAAAGATTAAGTGTCATTTTAAAATGAATTCCCAGGAGTGGATACACAACCCTCCGCTAGCAATTTAGCTGCTACAAATTGTACTACAGGATCACAAGGCGTTATTCTGTTAGTTTCAAATTAGAATTTAATATATTACTTCCTCTTCTGCAGACATATTTGTTACAAGTTATCTGCATTTCTCTTTTTTATAATCACACACTTACCCGTCATAGTCCATGTTTGAGCAATATCGCGCTAGGCAGCTGGCTAAAGTTAGCTTGCTACATCATTTTTCGTGTAGGATGTGTAACTCATTCATTCCCTTTATAGACGTGCGTGGTATTTTAAAGCTTTAAGTCGAGTAATGTGTGTCTTCATAAGTATTCCTCGTGCTGAGCCTTGTCTCTCGTGAGATGGCCGCGGTTGTTTATCTGACTGGTTAGCAGCTCATAGCTATCGCTGCCTCACTGACTTTACACCCAGGACCGTCGTAGCGGTCCTCCATCAGAGGGTTGCCTGGCAACAGTGATACAATCGCTCCATGATCACCAAGGTCACTCATGGCACTGCCACATCACTGCACTAACTTGCTACTCTAGCCCTTACCAGCTATATTAAAAAAATAATAATTCATACTTCTCCAGGTTAAAGCTAAAGTTAAAACACCATCCTTATTGCTCAGATGATTTCAAATCAAAATGACATAACTAATGTAAAAGAATCAAAAGACTCAAAAAATATCAATTTAATTTATTTTATTGAAATCACATCAAACATTCATTTAAATGTTCATTCTTGTCCATAAGCACAAGTGCAAAAGATTCAGCCGCCTTTAACAACTTCCGATTCCGCTACAGTCAAAAGATCCATTTGAAGCCATCTCCCAGAGACAGAGAACAGCATCATCACTGCCATCACCGTTGATCTGTAAAACAAAAAATATCAGGGAAGAGCATAACCAATTTATACAAGACAAAAAAATTAGGGGGGGGGGGGGGGGTATGGGGGTCTTGTTTTCTGATGCAATTTCTCCCACAAGTTAAGAAAAATCTAAATCTTAGAAAGAATCCACACAAGACCATATTTTGTTATGTTTCACAAATTCATGTAAGTCTGAATAAATTTTGATTTCGCAAAAGCAAATAAATCACTTAAATGTACAATGCAATCTTTTCATTGTCAGCGTTTAATGATTCAGAATGTTCACGTTTCAAGTTCTTTAAGTTTTAGTCTGGAATAAAATATACAGGGTAATTCAAAAAGAATACAACAACTTAGAAAATCTGTTTTTAATTATAAAAACATGATGGAATTTTGGGTAAATAATTAATGTAAAGAGTTCATAGATGTTTAATGTGACCCCTCCAGACACTCGAGTGACATTAACCTGAAAGTTGTGGTATTTTTTCCAAATCACCCTGGAACTTAATTGTAGCATATTTTAACATGGATCCATGTTTTGCATCTAGTATTCACACTTATTAAAAAAATAAATAAATAAAATCTAACAAAAACACATATACGTGAACTAAACCTACCAACACATGTATAACAATGATTTATGGGTTCTGAAAAATCCTTGTACGCATTTTCATTTGCTTACTATTTTACTGTAGTATACTCATTTGTTTACTATTTTATATGCAAGGAATTTCTGTAAACACACTAAGAGATCTGCAGCAAGAGCCATTTTTTATCTGTATGGACCTTTGAAGTATAAATTAAATCCAAACTAACTTTGATTTTGTTGACTGACATTTCTAGTTCTGTGTTGAACAATTCGTACGTAAATGTCATTAAAAAATATATATAAAATTTGTCATTTTAATTGTAATATACATTTTTATTTAATGTTTGATGTAATCTCAAGCGAAACACAGAGATGGTAGGACGGTCTAGCTATTTTTAGCTATTTTGGTTCACACTAGCTTATAGACATCTCATAAACCAACAGTACTAATACGAACACCTTAACTTTAATTTCATGGGACCTTTAAAACCTGAAAATGCATTTCCTTTTTTGTTTTCAGGTAGTTTGTCAGATAACACAATACGCAAGCCTAGGAAATTCCTCCAACGGTTAATTTTTAAAATAAACAGAAATGGTGAGGCAGGAGTATGTAAGGTTCTAATAACTCTCCCCTAACCCTTTTTCTGATTGTTCTGAATTAAATGCTTATTTTACTACATCCAATCAGCTCACAGTAGAAAAAACAAGCCACGCCCACTGTTTTGTCATTTAATATTCCATTTCTCTAGGCTCTGCAATAAGGAAAATGTGTATATACAAAAATGATCAGAGCTTCCTGTTCATGTGAACTTTAAATGGCAAAATAAAATAAAAAACAGGTCTGTTTGAGAATTCTACCCATTTAATGATCACATCTTGTAACCTCATGTTCTGTTTTTGGTGCATGCTGCATTTTCATTCAGTCCTTTGGAGTTTAGATGCATGCACACCCATGTTCAAATGATAGAACTGGACATTAAATTAAATCACACGAAATGATCAAGTTCCAATCCCAATTCTACCCCTTAGCCCTTCTCCTTACCCCTTGTTTTGCACGATTACTTCAAGGGGTAGGGGTGTCAAAATTCTCTTTAGCTTCAAGGCTATGGGGAAGGGGTGAAAACCTCTTCGAACAAAGATTTTTCAGGACCACACTCAAAACCAAGGGGTAAGAAAACTTCCCAGAATACACCAGCCAATGGCGGATAGTTACACAAGGAAGTAGGGAGATCCACAAATTAGTATTTTTTTGTCATTATTACAATTTTTTACAACAAAAAAGCACGCTTTAATATATTCATAAACAGATGTTATAGACGCATACAATAATAGAATTGGGATTGGGTCCAGTTGTAGGTTTAAGCCTAACACAATTTACAAAACCTCACCATGGACATTCTTGCTTCTTGTAGGCCCACGGGCATCTTGCATACATGTTGCAAAGCAATCTCTGCCAGACTGCAAAAACAAGAAAGAAATTATGTAATTGGCATGAATCTATGATAGATGAATTTGAGGGGAAAAAAATTATAATTACTACTCACCAAAGTCACTGACGGAGTTCATCCTTCATTTTTCAGAGCAACTGGATTCACAGCTGCAGCAGAAGTTCATCAAGCAGCTGCTCTTAGAAGTGGGATTTTACTTAAATCATTCCACTGTTTACCCTCTGTGGACAAAGAAAATAAACGTGTCAACAAATAGTGTCCTGAAACATGTTTGTTTACATTCAGTCTATCAAAACCCCATACGTTTGTGCCTTTAAGAGGGTCTATGTAAAACATGTGCTTTCAGAATAAGAGTTGCACATCTCTCTTTTCAAAAAAATGCCAATGTCAAAATGGTTTTACAGTTGCATCTTCACTCAGTTATCAACTAAAACCACTGTCCTCTTTGAGTGCCAGAAATGTAGGAGGACAAAAACACGAGCAAAACACCGAGATGAGGAGGGGAGGGGGATTGATAAGATGTAAAGTAAATAACTGAAAGCACAAACCTTGCTTAATAAATGCTGATCTCCTTTGCATTTGATGTCATTAATATCTGGAACTAATGCATCAAGTATACAGGAACTATAAACTCCATTCTCCGGTTTGACCTTAAACTGGAAATTGTCTAAAATATTGGATTAAGACATAACTACATAGACCACAGTCACCACAGCGTCACACACATTGAACTACAGAGCATATGCTAATCGCCACTTTTCCTCTGTTACATGATCACCGCAGTTTAACGCTGGTATTTAGGAAATGCTGAAATAAAGTTGCATGCACGTTTTACGTTAACGACTCACAAATACCTGATTTTGTTCCAGGTGGATCCAAAGTATGTTAAAGACACACCCGATGTAATGTCTTGTGTAAAGTATTTCTACAAACCTGGAAACCTGGTGCGATTATCCTATGGATTTTCAGCTGGGTTTCTACATCTCTGGAGTAGCCCTGGAGAATCCAATGACGGAGTAGTGGACACAGCTAAGGTATAGATCCATCTTATTTGATCACTAAAAGTATTGGAACAAAGCTCTAAACATATTTTAAGAATAAAGACAACATATGGTTGGGAAAATGTTAACATCCCCACATGTTTGATGCAAAGAAATGCAATTCAAATGGAGCACTAGAGCCTAATAAAGGCAAAGAATGCGCCTCCAATTTTAGTCTTACCTAGGTGGATAGACAAATGACTAAATGGGCCTCATAAGTCAAAAGCACCCAATGAATGTCAGATTGGCATAAATCATAATGGCTACGGAGTAATGACTTTTATTAAGAGAAATACATACAGTTCAGTTGTATCTGAAATAAACAATATTCAATAGGTTATTCCGTTGAAGCAATAATACAATGAGACAAAAGCATTTAAGTCTTTTACTAAATGATTAAACTGTAAAAAAACAACTCCAATCAGTCTTCAGAGTCCCAACGAAAAAGGATTACTGAAACACCATGACAATATTTGCATTATGTGCTTGAACTATTTAATAAATGACACTAATTGGGATGGCATACACGTTAATCACTATGTTAACGTATACTGGGAAACTTTAAGTGAGCTCGAACAGTCACCCAATTAACTTTTTGTTCCTGAGACGCCATAAATCTGTTTATTCCAACACGTTTTTTATGTTTAGACAAACAACATCTAAATGTCCATTGAGCCTAATTAAAGATCAATCATCATTGATTGGCAACAAAGTCCATGACAAGTCTTGCAAGCACTATAGAGCAACCAATTTAGTGGCCATTCTTTAGAAAATTTGTTTTCCCATTCATCACGGTTTCAAAGAACTCTGCATTAGAGCTATTTTAAGAATGTATTAAATTAGTTACAAGATGAAAAATACAATACATTTAGAAGAAATGTAGCATTCTTTAAATTGTCATTAGTGTTGATTAGATTATATTTGGTGGAGATGTTTCATAGAATCACTGGTAATGAAGTTTTTAAAGAATTTATTGATACGGTTTACCAAGTTATTAAATTTATTATTATTATTATATGAATATATATGAATATATATTCATATATATAATAAATTCAATAACTTGGTTATATATATATATATATATATATATATATATATATATATATATATATATATATATATATATATATATTTATTTTTATTTATTTTTTTATTTTTTTTTGGCCAATGTTGCTTTACAGATCTCAAGATATGCAGATAGGGTCTGCTACCAATCAATGAAGTCCTAAATGTCTACAGGGGTTCACTGTGATTGACTAAATAAAAACAAGATATAAATGTCTTAGAAAAAATAACATACACAATAAAGATACAATACATATGCTAAATGGAGAAACACATGCCTACACTAACAAGCAAAAACACTAATCTTAACTTAATCCCAATGCACAAAGAAAAACGTGTGAAAAGCAGTTTGCGAACAGGTAGCCTGCTCCGACCACCACTGGCCAGTCTTATAATAAGAAGATATCCGGAGTAGTAGTCCTATATGTCTTGCTGGAAAAAAATATCTCCCTAAGTACATCAGGGAAAAGAGCAAAATGATGTGTAGTAGTAGTAGTAGTAACAGCTGTAAGATGTTGAATAAAGTCGGATAGGTGAACCCTACCTATGATCTGCTAGGCTGGATAAAGTTCTGAACTCCTGAATAGAGCTTGAGTGTTTCAGTCAATGCCTCGCCACATTAAGGTGACTCAATCTGGCTACTTAGCTGAAGATAATCTGTGGTCAAAACTGTGATGTGGGCTGGGGAAGGAGCTGCTCTTAACACGAGACCTAATAAACGCTCTTAATACGAGCCTCCGTAACCCCCCCTGCCGTAACCACCACCACCACCACCTCGGGAGTAAGGAGCGTTGCTTCTGCCCGAGTAATTACCTTTCATTGGGCCATAGCCAGAGGACTGCTGGCCATAGCCGCTGCCAAAGTCATTGTAGCCGTTACCACCGCCGTAGCCTTCCATTTGGTCCCCGTAGCCTCCCCCATACCCGCCACCGTATCCGCCTCCATAGCCACCACCGTAGCCGTCGTTGCCCCCATAGCCGCCGCCACCGTAGTTGCCGTATCCTCCGCCGCGCCCGCCGTAGCCGTTCTGCGGTCTGCCCATCCCCCTTCCGCCTCCTCGGCCGCCACGACCACCGCCGCGGCTACCGGCAGCTTGCATCTCCTGCTTGGTGAGGGCTTTCTTTACCTCCACTTTATGACCGTTAATCATGTGGAACTTGAGCACCACGGCTTTGTCGGCCGAGTCGTTATCTTCGAAATAGACAAAGCCGAAGCCTCGCTTCTTGCCGGTCTCTTTGTCCGTGATCACCTCCGCCTTCTCCACCGCGCCGAACTGCGAGAAACAGTCACGGAGGTGATCCTCTTCGATATCGTCTTTTAGACCGCCGATGAAGATCTTTTTTACCTTTGCGAGAGCCTCGGGCTTGCCCGCGTCTTCTCGGGCCACAGCCCTTTTCAGCTCCACGTTATTGCCATCTAGAATGTGAGGTCGGGCCGACATGGCGGAGTCCGCCTCGTCCGGACTCGAGTAGGTCACAAAACCGAAGCAACGCGAGCGCTTCAATTGTTGGTTCTGCACCACCACGCAGTCCGTGAGCTTGCCGTACTGCTCGAAATGGTTTCGCAGCCCATCGTCGGTAGTCTGGACGTTAAGACCGCCGACAAATAGCTTGCAAAGCTGGTTTTCCATTTGAGCCGTCATCTTCGTAATCTAATCTCTGCTGGGTTGATGTAAAATGGCGGTGAAATATAAATGGCGGCGGTGCGGACAGATGATGTCATCTAAACGTAACCACGCCTACCATCGAAAGAGATCAATGGTTTTGAGTTGTTTTGATTACCTTAGTAATATCTTTTGAGAATATCTCGCAAAATGTTTTGCACAATATTACAGAAATGCCACTCTGGTTATCTTCCGTCTGAAAAGACGGGTCAAACATTTCCTCCTCCAAAGAGGAGAACGTAGCATTGATTCAAAAGATATCCACTGCGCACGCGCAGTAAAGACAACAACAGCCCACTACAGCAAAACAATGGCGACTGCCGTGGAGAATATCGTTAAAGTGTGAGTACATGTAGTTTTTAAACTCTTTGAATGAATATTGGCGTGATATTTCCTGTATATGTCGGAATTAGAGAGGTTTTGTTTTTGTTAGTCAGGCTGAGGTATTGTAGTGGTGTTTGACTGGCTAATAATGGAAATCTGCACCTCGTTCATTCATCGTTTTCTGTGACATCAAAGCGCGGTTCAGCCATGTGTCTACTTTTAAAATTACTTTCTCTGACCAGTGACGGACTAATTTGTTTGTCTGTCAAGTTCCGTGATCCAACTTTTTAAAGAAAAGTCTATCAGGATGTCGTCGTTTTTTTTAAAAACAGGCAAAATTAGTTCATCACATTGAGGTCCATTGATGTCCATTGTTTGAATATGGGCACGTTGTGACGCACCAAATGTAACAAAAAATCATGTCACTTTCCGAAGAATCTGATTTAACTAGTCAAAGGCTCATATTTATTAGTGCTATGAGAACATTGAATTCACATGTCTTGTGAAAACCTATATAATGTTTTACTTATGTTGTTCTCTTTTATTTGTATGTGGACTAAAGGCTCGGAGAGCAGTATTACAAAGATGCTTTGGAGCAGTGTCATAATTATAATGCCCGGCTGTGTGCGGAGAGAAGCATCCTCATGCCCTTCTTGGACTCCCAGACTGGAGTCGCTCAAAGCAACTGCTATATTTGGATGGAGAAGAGGCACAGGAGTGCAGGTACAAAAAAAAACAGCATCAGTCTGATACACAGATTCTATTTTCAGTCTATCTTACTATTACTAACACACTTTGTGATTGCTTTTTAAGGCACGGCACCAGGACAGCTGTACTCATACCCCGCCCGGCGCTGGAGGAAGAAAAGAAGAGCTCATCCACCAGAAGACCCAGCATTGGTTTTTCCTCCTCTTAAAACGGGTAATTTGTTATGACACTGTATTTTCTTATGCTAATTAAAAAAAAAAAGTTATTTATTAAAGAATGAAGAATTAATTAGATCATAAAAATAATAGTTTATTGTTGTTTATTAAAAATCACCAGCTTATTCATCCTTGTGCCATTCAATGTGTATTTGTCTTTCTTTTTCCAGACAAACGCAGTCAGAGGTGTATTAAATTATACCCTCGCTATTTACAGCTTTTTAATTGCTGTGAATTTTTTTGCTCTTTGTTTTTTTTACATTTGTGAACACACATTCACTATTTGTTTGATGCCAGTAATGATTGATTATATTATAAGTTTAAAATTATTAACCAACTGGAGTCAAATGGATCACTTGTAAGATGGATGGATGTGGATTTTGAGGGTATCCACAGGGTTTTAAAAAGTCTTAAATTCATTTTTTCATTTTCTTTTCGGCTTAATCCCTTTATTAATCTGGGGTCGCCACAGTGGAATGAAACGCCAACATATTCAGCATATGTTTTAAGCAGCAGATGCCTTTCCAGCTGCAACCCATCACTGGGAAACATCCATACACAAGCGTTCACACAAATACACTACAGACAATTTAGCCTGCCCAATTCACCTGTACCACATGTCTTTGGACTTGTAGGAGAAACCAGAGCCCCCGAAGAAAACCCACGCTAAATTCTTTAGCATTTAGCCCTATAAAAGTCTGAAATTTAATTCTTCATATTCTTAAAAAGGTCTTCAAAATTCTTAAATTTGACTTTGTGAAACCAGCAAAAACCCTGATTTTGGAGCTTCAAAATGTAACATTAGCAGATTTTTTATTGTTTTGTTTGACCCTTGACAATTTTAGTTGATACACAAATGACTAGGCCAGGGATGGGCATACTTGACCCTCGAGGGCCGGTGTCCCTGCAGAGTTTTGTTCCAACACTAGTCAAACACACCTGAACAAACTAATCAGTGTCTTCAAGATCACTTGAACTCTATAGGGAGGTCTGTTTGAATAGGGTTGGAGCTAAACTATGCAGGACACTGGCCCTCCAGAATCAAGTTTTCCCTCACCTGGACTAGGCCATATAAATTGTGAACATGATAAATATTTTTTACTTATCACTCTGTTGTCTAAAAACATTTATTTTATTGTAATGATAAAGAACATTTGCTGGACTGAGGCAGGTTAAAATTACTTGATTTTCCAAAAATAATACTTAGACAAGGAATATGACATTAAATAGGAATCTTTCATTGAAGAATTGATTTATGCATATCTATCTCTCTTTATAGCTACAGAGAGACAGTATCTATTTTGTGTAAACGTATGATACAGAACGTATTTAAAATAGCATTGTAAATCATGACTAAATGATTTCAAAATATATTTTTTTTCTCCTACTGTTACTGTAAAACATTCTTAAAGACTGGAAATGTGCAATATAAAATAATCTTATTATTGTTATTATGTTTTTTTAAAAGCTGAGCTGGAACTAGGACTTAAAAAAGATGTGTTGGGCCCACTGGATGGGAGTAGTCTAGAAGCCCTGCTAAAAGGAGAGCCGCTGGATAAAAGAGTCACTACAGAGCTCAGACCACCTGAAGAAGAAACCAGTCTTGCTGAAATTACTGGAACCAGTACAGCCAGCAGCCACAGCGGCTCCACGCGCATCAGAAAGGTATAGAGCAGGGCTGTTTGATAATGTGACACCTTAAATATGAACTTTGTACTCTGGGTTCATAATTGAGGGAGTTTTTTCTTCATTGATGCCTTCTCAGAGAATCCTTGAACCAGAAGACTACTTGGATGATCTGGATGATGAAGATTTTGAGGAGGAAACTCCCAAAAGAAGAAGCAAAGGAAAGTCTAAGGTAACACGCCTAATCTCCCGTTTCCTAGTTAAATGAATATTAATGCAGTATTTAAGATTTGTTTCCACCTGATGTGATTAGTTTTGATTACAGTATGGTCTTAAGGGAATTGTTATGAAAATATCTTTTTAACCTGCCAGGGTCGAGGTGTTGGAAATGGTAAAAAGAAATTGGAAGCTGCAGCAGCTGCCCAGGAAGATCGAGACAAACCGTATGCTTGTGACAGTGAGTTGTGACCAATGTTATTTTAAACCATTGAAAAGTCCTCCTTTTAAAGCATTAGAGTTTCATATCTGCATTATTTAAGACAAATATAGAGTACTGTTTAAAAGTTTGGGGTCATTGACAGAGTTTATTATTACTGTTATTTAACAAAAATAATTGATAAAGTAATGTAGTAGTTGTAGTAATGTAGTATTACAACGGATTTTTATTTCAATTAAATGGTTTTTTTATTTTTTTTTATTTTTTTGGTATTCATTAAATTATTATTATTATTATTATTTATTTATTTTTTTTTTAACTATCTAACCAGTGTTGCTTTTCATACTTTAATTAGACCTTGCTTCCTTTTTCATATAGTTGATTAAAAGTTAAGAAAAGCCCAGTTTAGAAAAAGGTATATTGCTAAATTCTACAGCTCCACTTCACATGGCAATGAATTTATGCCAGTCTGCATTCATTCATTCATTTTCTCTTAGTCTCTTTATTAATCAGGGGTCGCCACAACAGAATGAACCACCAACTTATCCAGCATATGTTTTACGCAGCAGATGCCCTTCCAGCTGCAACCCATTACTGGGAAAAGACCATACACTTTCATTCACACACATACACTAAAGACAATTTAGCTTACCCAATTCATCTGTACCACATGTCTTTGGACATGTGGGGAAAACCAGAGCACCCAGGGGAAAATCCACGCCAACTCGGGAAGAACATGCAAACTCCACACAGCCAGTGTGCAAAAATTAACATCATTTAGCCTTCAATATATGCTTACTATCATTGTTACTATCACTATTACAACACAACCTGGTAATGCTGTGTCAATTCAATGACCAGCAGAGACACATTTACACCTAACAGTTAAACATGTCAGATATTTTTAAACTGACCACAGTGTGCTGCTTTTGTCAATAGTCAGTCCACTGAAGAACGACTTCATGTGCAGGCTCACTGCATTCTTCTTTGATTTTACTGTATCCTGCTGCTCTGTCTGTGTATGTTTACAGCACCATATATAGGTGTCACATATACATATTACACCATTTTAACATTTCCATGTGGACGCAGACACTTCTTGAAACAATAAGTGGATAGCACAAACTTTTGGATTGACAAAGAAAAAATATGATCAGTGTCATATTGGTGTATGGATATTTTACAGTTTGAACCCAAAAACGACTAGTTTGTCAGATGAAGAAGAGCCAGAGTCAGAGATTGACTTTACTGAAGATAGTTTGTAAATTTATCAGCAGAAGCCAGCTTCAACACTCACAAAATGTTCGAAGTCCACTCTGCTTACAATCTCAAAACATTAACAATTATACTCTTACATAATGTCATTCATTCATTTTCTTGTCGGCTTAGTCCCTTTATTAATCTGGGGTCGCCACAGCGGAATGAACCGCAAGCTCATTCAGCGTTTTACGCAGCAGATGCCCTTCCACCTGCAACCCATCACTGGGAAATAACTGCGTCATATTTTACCATTTTACTTCACTCTGGCTAAACCATTCACATACTCAGAAGCAAACATTATGATCTTGGATAAAACTAATTTGATTCTCACTGTCTGGCCAATTAGAAATGTTCACAGGTTAGCTACCTGCTTAAACTCTTGATTATTTGAAATTCTTTCATCTTTATTTTATTCTTTCAGCAAGCTTTATTTGTCATTCTGCAAAACTTGTTCAAAAATATTACCCAGTTTTACTCTGAAGTGGGATGACACAAAGGTTATCATATAATCTAGGCTCTTAAATATTCAACTTTATTAATAATCATAAAGACATAAGAAAGGATATGTCTTCACCCTGGAGCAGACATCCATCAGAAAATCCACGCCATTTATAGTCTTAGAAAGAGGTGCCCAAATTTGTTCCTAGAGGGCCGATGTCCTGGAGAGAGCTCCAACCATAATCATACACCCCTGAACTAGCTAATCAAGCTCTTACTACATATTCTGGAAAGTTACTGGCAGGTGTGTTGAAGTAAGTTGGAGCTAAAATCTGCAGGACACCGGCCCTCAGGGACCGAGTTTGGGCACCCCTACTCTAAGCATTATAAACAACCAACCACTGTTGAGAAAACCTTTAGTTGTGAAAGCTCTATAGAAAATATTTGGGGGGGAAAAACATAAAAAAAATCCTGATTTCCAATAATGCACAATGTTTTTTACACTACTGTTTTAACTGTAGTTGTTTTCTTTTTTTAATTAGTCTGTGGGAAGCGCTACAAGAACAGGCCAGGTTTGAGTTACCATTACACTCACTCTCATCTGGCCGATGAGGAGGGAGAGGACAAAGAAGAGCCTGAGATTCACACGCCTGCACCCCCAGAGGAACCCAAGAGTAAGCATTCAATCATCACTAACTGTGCATGTTGAGAAGTCATCATCTAAAACTGTGTACACTACTGACACCTTACTTGCACTGTTGTTCCTTATCAGTTTGAAAGATTTAACAAGTATGATGTGCTAGTATTTAATGTTTAAACCGCACCTTTTATAGTTGTATTTATGACATTTAAGGGTTAGATATTGTTAGATCCTTGTGACTTAAGGATATTGTATATTACAATACAAATATTTGCCAGTTTTGTTACAATGACAGTCAATTAAAATACAAAAGTGTTCCGAGAGTTGATCTGATCTTCTTTTTACAGCCCCTAAGAAAGGACCAAATGGCCTGGCTTTGCCTAATGACTACTGTGACTTTTGCCTGGGCGACTCCAGCATGAACCAGAAAACAGGGCAGTCTGAGGAGCTGGTGTCCTGCTCTGATTGTGGACGGTCAGGTATGGCAGAGCGACAGGAGAAACTTTAAACCTCTAGAGGTCTTTGATTTAATAATTCAAGTTTTTTTTTTTCTCTGGTCTTCTCTTACTTAAGGGCATCCTTCATGCCTGCAGTTCACCGCTGTGATGATGGCTGCTGTAAAGACTTACCGCTGGCAGTGCATTGAGTGCAAGTGCTGCAATGTTTGTGGCACATCTGAGAATGACGTGAGTCCCCAGACATTTGAATGAAGCTCATACACACAAAAGGCATCTGTTAATGTGTTGACATTCTCTTCCTCAGGACCAGCTTCTGTTCTGTGATGACTGTGACAGAGGATACCACATGTACTGCCTCAGCCCTCCCATGTCAGACCCTCCAGAAGGTACAAGCAATTGCTTTTATTGTTGTTCGCCTATGCTGGTGTCGTTCCAGACACAAATTGACTGGGGTCAGATCTATGCATCTCTAAAGATGCATTATCAGGATATCCTAAAAATGCACCATCAGCACATGGGCTGGGGTCTGTTTTAAAAAAAATTGTTTAGAAAACCGAAGAGTCAAAAACCTGACTTCAATGAGCCGAACTACTTTATTTGTTAACATACACAAGTAGTGACAGATAAATCATAAGAAAATCATCAAGACTTATAAATAAACAATATTGTATTATTGTCATTTAATACAAAATGTCTCAAATTATAGAAATATTACAAAGTAAAAATGACAAATGTTTGGTTTCTAAAAGTGCTCTTGTGAGAGCACATCACTACATATGGCACACTGATGTTTTAAGCCTTTTTTTGTCATCAATATATGTAAATTCATACTTTACATATTCAGGGTCGTACTTGCACTTTGACATAGTTGTTGCTATAATTAAATGAAATTTCACATGTCAAACGGTACAGTTATCGCTCGCGCATTTCAAAATAAAAGTCTTATTTAAGCAAAATAGGTTAAAAATTAAACATTTGTTGTTGTTTTTTTACCACACTCTGCGACCCACTGAAAACGTTCCCGCGACCCACCAGTTGAGAAACACTGATCTAGATAACTGCTTGTGAGTGTTACTGTCGTGAAACCTTAAAGGTCGGGCATAGATGCACTGATTATGTGGTGTGCTACCATGGCAACTACGAGAAAGGAAAGATCTTTGAAATAAGACACTGCTATGTTCACAGTGAGTAAGCAGTGTTTGTTTTAGAGTTTAAACATATAATAATGTAAACTTAATAATCATAAACGATGGCTTGCAATTAAGCAAGAGAGAAGTTTGACAGGAAATTGCAGGTCGTCTCAATAGGCTGCATATTTAGCTATATATTTTAAAACATAGGCCATTATTTAGGCCTATTTACATATAAATTAAATATTTGTCACAATACATTGAAATTGTGCTTGCACACGTGTAAGCGAGAGAGATAATGCGAGCTTACTGCCAATTGTTGCTTGTAAGGAAAAGTTTTAATGCATTGCAGACTAACTGTAACATACAAAATGTGCTTAACGTCAGCACATAAAGTTTAAAATAATGGCAACAATGAGCCGTGCACGCACAAGTGGTGAAGTTGCTCCTGAAACCACTGCAAATTGCTGCTTTCCCTATGACACTTTTTCTGCGACCCGTGGAAAAAAAAAATTCATTTTATTTTCGGCTTAGTCCCTTTATTAATCAGTGGTCGCCACAGTGAAATGAACTGCCAACTTATCCATCATGTTTTACATAGCAGATGCCTTTCCACCTGCAACCAATCACTGGGAAACACCCATACAAACTCATTCACACACAAACTCTGCGGACAATTTAGCCTACCCAATTCACCTATAGTACGTCTTTGGACTTGTGGGGGGAACCGGAGAACCTGGGGGAAACCCACGCCAACTGACCCAGCTGAGGCTCAGACCAGCGACTTTCTTGTTGTGAGGCGATTGTGCTACCCACTGTGCCACAATGATGACCTAGTTGAAATGTTGTAGTTTGTAATTGTTTTGTTTGGAATGACTCGTTTGAATTTAAATGTGTATATTGTTCTGTTCTAAAGAATAAAAACAGCTACAGTATGTTCAGAGCAGCAAATTCCAAACATTCTGAAAGGTAGAATAAATCTGATGTGTGTTTTGAACTAAAACTTTACAGACACATTCTGGAGACACAAAAGACTTTTCTTAAATCCTAAAAAAGGGGTAAAATAGGTCCCTTTTAAGATACAGAGCAGAGAAAACTATCTCATCATTAAAGAGCTGAATCCATCGTTTTGGCATCTTTCAGGGCAGATCAAACCTTTAATTAATGGGGTCATTCCCCAAAACCCCTTGTTATTCACAACATCTTTGTTACATCTACAATAAGCATGGGCAAATGCCATATTGTGCACGAAACTGTAGAATACAGAAAAAAAAATCATAAAATGCACCACCCGCATGCCAAAAGTAAGCACTGTCAAAATGGCATGAAAGTAATGTTGTAATTTATGTGCTGAAATTCTCAAATCGGAATAAAACAAGATACCTAGTTATAATTAGAGTGATTCATATTTGGCTTGAATAATGTTTACAGGAAGCTGGAGTTGTCACCTGTGTCTGGCTCTTCTGAAGGACAAGGCTTCCATTTATCAGAGCCAGAATCCTGCAATGGAGTGACCACGTGAACAGTCTACCTTGAATGCGCAAACCTCACGTCCATGCAGAAATGCATTCAAACTGTCTTGAGATTTTCACAGAATGATGGAGAGGCAGGAAGAGAAATCATTGGCCCTAACGTAACCAGTTTTTTTTTTTTATGTTTCACTTTGACTGTTACACACATCACACATCACAGGCAGTGTTTGAAATAAAGCCTACACAGAGGTTTCCGAGTTTGAAATGGGTAATATACGTACACTTCATGCATTATGTGCAGTATTTCCACATTCCTTGACGTTAGGGCCCATGTTTCAGATGATTGAGCACCTGTTTATGCATTGCCAAATATTCTTTTTTAATCGCTCACTCAGCATTTGTTTACATGGAGAAAAACATGGCTTATTCTTCAAATGTTATGGATCGAATTATTAATTTGTATGAGATGTGTACTTCTGTTTATATCTTTAATGTGTATAATTATTTCCTGTAAGCGGTTCTTTCAGGAAGTAATTTTGCCAAGAGTCAGATTTTAAAAACCAGAAGATGGTGCTGTATTTTTTTTCATCATCAAGTTCTGTTTTTTGCTACATTTTCTGGACTCAATCGTTAGTCTATTTTATCCCACAAAACACTCTCATGAGGCAGGTTATCTTTCGTAGTATTTTGTATGTGATATTATATCTATTATCACTGACTAACCATATTGAATTATTGTGAGTACTGTATCGTTTTTGTATTTGTTTTTTTTTTTGGTATATCATGTCAGTTTGTATTGGTATTGAATGTAAATGCTGTATTTTTCTGTCTTTTTTATTTACATTTTTCATATTGGCCTTTCCATAATAAACATACATGTAACAGATTCTTAATAATGTTTGTTTTTTATGGCTGCTTAGTGCTACCAGCATAGTGAATAAAGATTTGGCTGATAAAAGTTAGATATTCCTATAATAATGGCACCAGTGGTGGAAAAAGTTCTAAAAAAAAATTCATACTCAAGTAGAAGTACCATTACTTGCCTAAAAATGTAGTGTAACTAGAGTAAAAGTATCTTGTAAATTTGACTCAAAGTAGGAGTAAAAATGAGCCCTTTCAAAAGTACTCAAGAGTAGTGAGTATTAAGCTGTAAAAAGCTGATGCATTTACATGTAATTTGTGCATGTGTGTGTAAACGTTACATTCTGTAGTGGGTTTAGTTCTTGCCCTGTGCAGGCACACAACGTCATAAGAGGCTAATATTAGGTTAGATTTAATTTGTGATGTCAAGTGGCCAAAATTCAATGTCTAGCCAGCGACAACATTTTGATGTCCAATAACAACTTCAAATGATATCGATATAAGGTTGATTTTAGGTTGTGTTGGAAAGTGATCAAAATCGTTGAGCCAACATCTTAAACCAACCTTATATTGATGTCAAAAACTGACATTTGTTCATCACATATGGCAACCAAAATTCAATCTCTGATAGACGTCATCCGCTTGTTAAGTGTGACATCACGCTAAGCGGTTTCCTGGTCCAAGCGCTCTATTCAACTGTATGGGAAGACTCATGACATGGTAATAAACGTGTACAAAGCAATTTAATACATTCGAAAATCAAGAAAGCAATATATACATCCATGCCTAATATCGAATGGCCAGAAAGTGATACTTTTTTTATATATTGTTAAAACATTGGTATTTGTGATGCACCAAGCCTAGAGATTGTTGTGTACACCATAACCTTATAAAAAATTCAAAATTAATGTGTGATATGAATAAAAAGTGATCATTAACAAATATTTCCGGCTTGGACCCGGAAACAGTATTACATACGTCACTAACATGCCCTTAACAAGCGGATAATGGTAACGTTCCCACAACATCAAGCTGTAACATTATTAGACGTTGATATTTGATTGGTTTTAGATTGAATGTTGGACATTGACGTTGTTCTGACATGGATTTCTGACGTCAACTTGATTTTTCATTTCGAAACAAAATGCAACGTCTCCACAATGTACAACGTCATTCTGACATCATGTTGATGTCTTGTGCCTGGGTGTGTAATTTCAGTCATCATACAGTAAACATCCGTCATCTTTTCATCGGTGACCTGCATCTAAACAGTCTCTGGGTCAATGCATGTAAAGATTTTGGACATCTTCTTGGACACTTTAAATGCTTCCAGTTTGGTGCAATTATCAATCGCCCATGTCTTGAGGTAGTCTTAGATTGCGATTTACCTCTTTACTTCTCTGTGTGATTTGATTGGACAGGAATTACAGGACTGATTTATTTTTTATTATTTGTCCCCAGAGTAGTGACTGTAGGTTGAAGAAAGGTTGTGGAGTAAAAGTACCAATACTGTACTAAAAATGTACTCAAGGGAAAGTCAAAGTACACATTTTTAAATTAAATAACAAGTCCTGAGAAAAAACACTTAATTACAGTAATTAGAATATTTGTAACTAGTTACTTTACACCACTGAACAGCACTCATACATCCACCCTTGTGTATTACTCCACCTACATAGAGTGACAGCAGAGGAACAAACTCACTACAGTTTGACAAATATTGCTTCTGTTGGACAACATAAAGTACTTTTGAGGCTTTTTTTAGGCAAGAATGTTGTTTAGATTGTCGTCATACTGAGCAGTGCAAAGACAGTTGGCGCTCTGCCACAAGATGGTGACAGAGATGCATAATAAGTCCTTGGGGGAGAAAAACAGCTTAATTTCAAACTACAGCTGATCAAATCATTAAACAGGTAAGTGATATTCTAAGTCGATCTCTCTCTTCTGTATGTTGTAGTGCTGTTTTTATGCCATAGTAATTGTAGTGCATTGAGTGTGAGATGGGACTCGCATATCGGGAATGTATGTATTTTGTGTTGGCCGCTTTGTATAATCCTGATTTATTTTTTGGTTGGCCATCTGTTTCTAATGAGTCTTCTGCTTTTGCTACTAAAAGCAGACTAGTTCAGTAAAAAGAAAAAAAATGAAAGCCTGCATATGTTCAGTGTAAAAGTAGTCTGATAGTGTTTGCGTTTGGCTTTTTAGTGGTTAATTATTGTGATATTCCTGATTGCAACAGAAATACTGGGAAATCTCTGTAGACTGATGTCATTTCATACCGTTCAGCCTTATATGATCATAAATGTTGACAAAATTACCCGTTTTGTCATCTCTTTAAAACATCTCTTTTTATTACACTAGAAAATCATTCAAATACTAGCTCTTAAGTGACTTTGGTGAAGTAGCAACAGTTTCTGCTGTTCTGACATCAGCTGCGGATGTGAATGAATGGCGGAAGAAAGGAATTCCTCAAACAAAAGGATTTTTAGACTCTCCAAGTTCTTTTTTATGTACACAATAATGCCATAAAACTGTTGTACAAATGCAAAACTAAACTCGTAGCAGAGCGATATGGCTAATCAAGCCATGATCGAACTGTTGTAAAAGCAATATCACACTTGCAATATCACACACTCCTCTCACCAGTGCTGATTTACAGCCGTATCACCCTGCTACACATGTGATATTGCTCATATAAAGAGCACAATAGCTTTGTTTCTCACAGTTCATCTTATAAAAAAAAATTCTAAATGACATTTTATTTTAAAATTTGAAGAAATTTCATCAGTAGTTCACAGAACAAAATGTTTAATTTTACTCAAACATAAATCATAAACTTAGAGAAACTGATCATTGTCAAATGGTCCCTTAATTTTCACCATATATAAAGTAGCACTTTGTATTCAAGCGTATGCTTACATGAAAACAATGTATTAAAAAAGACACTGAAATAAAACACTGAATTCAAAAATCACTGAAATATTCTTTGTCTAGACAGAGGTTGTCATTAAACTTACTCATTATACATTCAACTATATACACAGTATACATTCAACATGTAATACATGTGATTTCTTATACATTCATTTTTAATTTGAGCAAGTTTTCATTTTGAGGCCTTTAAAACTGATTTTGATTGAAGCTGTGGTCATGTAAACATATCTATTACATTGCACTGTAAATACACACACAATGATAAAACGCATTTTACACAATTACGAATAGTTTTTCCCTATCTCACTGCTGCTTTCATATCTAGAGTTCTAATACAAAGTTATGTCAAGAGTTTATTCCTCACAAACACATACCCAGATGCTACATTGTTATTTTTTCAGTGCTCGCTAAGGCAATGAAAGTGTAAAAACTGATACAAAAACAGAGAATCTGAACATCATGCTCAGCTTATATACTACTAGGATCTTTTCAAGGCATTTGGCATCATAATACAGCATTTGACAGGATTGGTCAATAAATGCTGAATTTAGTGATACCACAAAAACTGTAAAAAATCAACTTAAAAGGTCATGAAACCCTGGACTAAACCAACAGATTTGTGTGTTGACAACAATCAAGACAACGTTAGCATCTGTTAGCTTTAGTTGTAGGGAACAACTGGCTAATTTTGGGACTGCCAGTCCTAAGATGATGTGACGACAATGTCTATTTATTACATTTCCGTTTAGTCATTCAGCAGATGCTTTTGTCCATAGCAACTTACAATTGAGAAGGTATTCAGCAATTCAACAAGAAAATGTTATGTGCTATTAAGTGAAGTGCTATTCAAAGTAACTTGGATGTCCTCAAAGAATTTAGTGCTAAAGTAGTTTTATTTTATTTTTTTAGAGAGAGAGAGAGAGTATGTGTGCTTTATTGGGTGGTTTTGGTATTATTCACCAGGGTTCAATTGTTCTTGGAGGAGATGGGTTTTTAGTTGTCATTTAAAGGAGTGTATTAGCAATCCGAGTGGGAATGGGAAGATCATTCCACCAGCGTGGAAAATTGAATGAAAAGGTTTTGGAAAGTGACTTATAGTCTTTCTGCGATGGCTTCACAAGGTGGTGCTCCCACTCTGATCAGAGGCTCCTGGAGAGGGTTTAGACCAGGGGTGCCTGGTCTTGGAGGGCTGGTCTCCTGCAAAGTTTAGTTCCAACCCCAATCAGATACGCTGGTTAATCAAGCTCTTACTAGGCTTTCTAGAAACAACTGTGCAGGTGTGTTGAGGCAAGTTAGAGATCAAAGTTGCAGGACACCGGCCCTCCAGGACTGAGTTTGGACACCCCTGGTGTAGACCTTCAGCAGCAGGTAGAGGTAAAAGAAGCAAGCATCAGTGATTCAAACTTGATTCAAGCTTCAACTGTTAACCAGAGAGATAAAGAGAGGTGTTGCGTGGGCTCTTATTAATCATGAGTATTCCTATCCTGTGAAATGACACTGCTTCTGAATTATTCGGTCAAGTAGTGAGACCATGCTTTTATAATGGGCTGTGGTACCAGTAGTGTTGTTCGAGTCTGTACTGAAATGTATAAAACAAAGTGCTGATAGCAGCATATGATGAGTGGATACCTGAACACTGCTGGTTGACCATTGTGTTCATACACTCAACAGATATGGCTGTGATTGTCTCTAATGACCAACAGTTTACAAAGGAGCTTCTCAGGCAATGGAGTGTTTGAAAGCCGTGTCTAGTAGCTGATCTGACATGATTTCCTCAAGCCCATTTAAAATGCTTTTATTTTTTTTTTTCTGAGAGAGATTTGAGATAGAACTGAAAGATGGGACTCTCACTAACTCACTCACTGCTCTTCAGCTTATTTCCTGATTCATCAGAGGTTACCACAGCAGAATGAAATGCCAAATATACTCTGGCAATTATACTCTGGCTATACTGTAAGCCAGCACGATCCTCAGTGCTTGCACACTACCCCATTCATACAACTAAGTCCAATTTAGTTTATCTAATTCACCTATACACCTATTCCAATTCACCTATACCATTTCTTTGGACTGTGAAGGTAAGCGAAGCACCCAGAGGAAACCCACATGAAGACAACATGCAAACTTCACACAGGAAGGCCTCCTGGTCCAGCCTTAACTTGAGTCAGCGACCTTCTTGGTGTGAGGCAACTGTGCTAGCCACTTAGCCACCGTGGAGGCAGGTTTCGGTAGAATGTACATGACATATTCAGGCATTTCCATTCGGGGTCCACCTTATTCCCTTCTTATGTTCCTTCCACCTACAGAGCAGCAGTGCCCTAAATGTGACACGGAAGTGTTTGTTACAGAGCGCGTAGCAGAGCGGATTGACTGTGCTGTTAACATAGCAGAGCCAGTATCCCAGTTTCCAAAGTCTCTCAGGAACACAATTGTCGCAGAACGTGGAAACAAGAACCATGATGTTATATGGTGTCCATGTTACAATGAAAGCCAGAAGAATGGCACTGAGGGTCCGGGCTGCTTTCTTCTCCTTGATCAGAGATGAAGTGCGGGCTTTTCTGCTCCTCTGACCTGCGTTCAGTAATAGAGCAGAAGCTTGTGTGGTTGCAGGATTCATAAGGGAATTCGGACTTTCTGACTGATCGCTGTTGTTCATGGTGGCATCGTGAGGTTTATTGGCCGCAGACTTATCCATTCCAACTAGCGGGATGTATTTGTTATTATGGTCTGTTCTTGAAGAAATAAAGTCCACTTGTGAATGGTTGTTTGTAGCGTATGAGTTGGAAATGTCTTCCCTTTCCCTTTGTTTCTTCCAACAGGCTGCTGTTCGATGGGTGAAGCTTGGACAGACAGGCCTTGGTTCATTTCTGAGCTGCTGCTGCTGCTGGTCTGTTTGTGGTCTGACATCTTCATTACTGCGAGAACTGCTCTGACACGATCTCTGAAAGACAGGAATTAAAATTTAAGAATTTTTGTAGATTTAAGAATGTTACACATTTTTACACTGTATAAACTTGACTTAGTCAATTTTTAACAGTCAATGGTGTTTTTTATGTTGTGTTTTATATAATCCTTGTTTGTTTGCTACATGCTATATGCTAATGTTCTTTTAAAATGTTGCACAGTGCCCCTCTATCAGCTCCTAGTTAAATAAAAAGCTAAAATATCCTTTATTAATATCAATGCTAAAGTATATTAAATATTATCGTGTTTTTGAACCATATTATAATCTTGAACTGATCTGTTGTGGTAATTCTATTGTTGCTATAGTAGTACAATAGCTATAGTAATATAAACAAATATGTACATTTTCTACAACTATATATTGTACTTCAATACACCACAGTGGACAGTAGTAATATCAATCAAAGTGCACTGTAGCGTAATGCAAGGCTCAGTTCTTGATCCCTTCATTTTTACATTATATACTGTATGTTACGGCAAGACCATATCATTAAAAAACATGAGGTTAGTATCCACTGTTCTTCCAACGATACACTTTTCACTCACCAGCCACTTTTCTAGACAGTACTGGGTATTGGGTTTGTACCCCCTAATCCTTCGTGGCATTAATTTAATAAGGTACTGGAACTATTCCTCAGAGATTTTGTTCCATATTGGCATGATAGAATCATGCAGCTGCTTCAGATTTGTCAGCTGCACATCCATGATGCAAGTCTCCCATTCCACCACATCCCAAATGTACTCTATTGGATTGAGATCTCGTGACTGTGGAGGCCATTTGAGTACAGTGAACTCATTGTCTTGTTTTAAGAAACCAGTCTGAGATGATTCACACTTTATGACATGGTGTGTTATCCTGCTGGAAGTAGCCATCAGAAGATGGGTTCACTATGGTCATAAAGGAATGGACTTGGTCAGCAACAATACTCCGTGGGATTGACACAATGCTCAATTGGTAATAATGGGCCAAAAGTGTGCCAAGAGAATATCCCCTACATCTTTACATCACCAGCAGTCTGAACCATTAAAACAAGGCAGGATGTATCCATGCTTTCATGTTGCTGATGCAAAATTCGACCCTACCATCCGAATGTTGCAGCAGTAATCAAGACTCATCAGACCAGGCAAAGTTTTTCCAATCTTCTATTGTCCAATTTTGGTGAGCCTGTGCGAATTGTAGCCTCAGGTTCCTGTTCTTAGCTGACAGAAGTGGCACCCAATTTGGTCTTCAGCTGCTGTAGCCCATCCGCCTCAAGGTTGGATGTGTTGTGCTTTCAGAGATGCTCTTCTGCATACCTTGGTTGTAATGAGTGGTTATTTGAGTTACTCTTGCCTTTCTATCAGCTCGAACCAGTCTGGCCATTCTCCTCTGACCTCTGGCATCAATAAGGCATTTGTGCCCACAGAACTACAGCTCACTGGATATTTTCACTTTTTTGGACCATTCTCTGTAAACCCAACCCAAGAGTTTGTTGTGCGTGAAAATCACAGTAGATCAGCAGTTTCTCAAAAACTCAGACCAGCCTGACTGGCTCCAACAACCATGCCACATTCAAAGTCACTTAAATCATCTTTCTTTCCCATTCTAATGCTGGGTTTGAACTGCAGCAGATCGTCTTGACCATGGCTGCGTCCGAAACCGCCTACTACTCAGTAGGTACTGCATTTGAATTTAAACGTACTACTCGGCCGTTAGAAAAGTACGTTCTATACAGTATGAACGTGAAAAGTATGAATGGAATTCGGACGTACTACATCCGCCATTTTGTCATTGTCACGTGACAAACCTGCGTCAATTGCGTCGCTTTACTCCCATTCATGAATTCGCTCGTGGGGCATCATGGGATAGCGCAGCATGCATGCGATGCGCACTCCAGAATCTGGCCAGAAGTAGTAAGTCATCCGGGTACTTCTCGCATACTGATTTTCGAATTCTATGAATTCGGACATACTACTCGGCTCGCATACTGATTTTAGCGTCCTATATAGTATGGAAGTATGCGGTTTCGGATGCAGCCCATGTCTACATGCCTAAATGCACTTGCTGCCATGTGATTGGCTGATTAGAAATTTGCGTTGAGCAGGTGTACCTAATAAAGTTGCCTGTGAGTGTACATCTCCACTCAACCTGATCATTTGTACAAATTCACAAAACTAAAAGATTGTATAGCTGATATTAACATTACCGCCTATTGCAGGGGTGTCCAAACTCGTTCCTGGAGGGCCAATGTCCTGCATAGATTAGCTCCATATTCCTTTAACACACCTCCCTGGAAGCCTCTAGTATATCTAGAAAAAGGCTTGATTAACTGGTTCAGGTGTGATTGATTGGGGTTGAAACAAAAATATGCAGGACACCAGCCCTTCAGGACTGAGTTTGGACACCCCTGGCCTACTGGAAATACAGCATTTTAAGTGAAGAAGGGATTTTTTCAGCAACATTGTTGCCTGTAAAACATTTCCTTTTTAAGAACATTGTAGTATTTTAAACAAACCTCAAGATAAGGGAAATAATAAAATGTGACCATAAATAAACAAGGAAAAAAATGTAGCCAAAAGAGGGAGCAAGAAGAACCAGAATGATTTCAGATTCCCTAAGGAACCTTTTAATAAACAAATCTTTTTTTTAACACCCAAATTTAGGCTTGTTTGTATTTGAAATAACTTAACATTTGTTTGAATGTGATATGTAATAAAAAATAAAAAGCATTTTAAGTGTTCAACAACAGCATTTTATGTCATGCTTTACCCACTGTGATGCAAACTAAAGGAAAAAAATAAATAATGGACAAGGTCTTTACTGTAAAACCCACCTGAGATGCATTTCCAGTTCGTCCTCCCTGTGACGCCATCAGTCCAGCCAGCTTCTGAGAGCGCTTCTCTGTCTCACGATACACACGCCAGTACAATGCCACCATCACACTTACTGGCAGGTAAAATGCAGCGATGGCTGTTCCAAAGGTGATCACAGGCTCTGACAGAAACTGTATTGAACACTCATTTTCCTGAACAGTCCGTTCCCCAACTATATACTGCCAAAACAAAATTGCTGGAGCCCAAATCACAAACGAGATGGTCCACGCTAGAGAAATCATTATCATGGCTCTTTTGGGTGTTCTTTTAGCTCGATAGGTCAGAGGTCGCATGACAGAAAGGTAGCGGTCAATACTGATGGCCAGCAGGTTCATAACAGAGGCGTTGCTTGCCACATAGTCCACAGCCAACCACACATCACAGGCAAGATTGCCTAAAGTCCACCCATTAAGCAAGATGTATGTAGTATAGAGGTTCATCGAGATGGAGCCCAAAATTACATCAGCCACCGCCAAGCTTAAGAGAAAGTAGTTGCTTACTGTCCTCAGGAGTGGGTTGACCCGAAAGGAGATCATGACCAGGACGTTACCTGTGATGGTGATGAGGGACAGGGGAACAGTTATGAAGGTGATCATGGCTGTCTTCCATGAGATGAAACCAGGAATGGGACTATCTGTCTCATTGATGAAACTGGAGAGATTCATGATGAACTGAAGAAGGCAGGAGATATGTGATTATGTTTGTCTTTTAAAAGTTGGATGTTTCTGTTGTGTGTCTTTTTGGAGAGTCTTCATTTTTGCTTATCTGTGTAAACAAAAATCAAGGAACAAATTCAAAAGTCAGTCATTGTTTTCTGATGTTGCATGTTTTAGCTACTGTATGTTTAACTTCTTTTTCTAACCACAAAACACCAAATAAAAAAGTCCTGGTCAAGCATGTCTACATATACAACAGAAGTGATGGCAAAACATTAAAGTATGATCCCATGTGACACATGGCATACAGTATATTCCACTATATAAAACCTGATAAATCTAGATTACTCAAAATATTTGAGTGAACCAACTTTCACTATCTATTTTTATTTAAGTAATTAAAAGCTGACAATTTTATTTTTTGTAATACACTAACACAACAGAGTTGGACAACAGGGGTGAGGATCAATGTGCAGTTTATTTCTAAGATTAGTCAGGCAGACAACGGTCAAAACAGGGGTAAACAGATGCATACAGATAATCCAGAATCATGGTCAATAAATTAGGTGAGCGGTCTGTACAGACCGCAGGCAGGATAAATAATAAGACAAAGCAAGGGTCAAAACACAGCTAGACAAGGCAAGGGAAACCCTGTTGTAATGTCAGTAACAGATAACAAGACTCGGTAATGTCTGTGTGTTTGCGTGCTGTTTATATGATCCATGTAATCAGTCCTTGAGCAACTCCCAGCTGTGTATGTGTGTAATCAAAAAAGTACCGGTACAGGTGTGAGTGTGTAGTGCATGGCGGGACTTGTAGTTCGATAGTGTGGTGTGTGTGTGTGTAGTTCTCTGTCGATGTCCAGTCGCTGGATCGCTGGTGCTTGTAACATACACCAACATGTTTGTGATATAACGCAATCTCATGACAATTTGTAACTTTTGATTTAGTTGCTAATTCGTACGAATACGTACAATCTAATTTGTACAATTTAGTATAATTTGCTCATCACCCAATGACGGTTGGGGTTAGGGGTGGGGTTGGGTGCCACGCCTCCTTTTTTAAAATCGTTCATTTTCATACGACTGAACTTGTACGAATTAGCCACTAAACTGACAAAACGTAAAATACTTATGTTTCCTCGTGAGATCAGACTGGATTATACACAATTGTCTCTAATTAACACAGTCTTCTGCTCCTGGCTTCATACTTTTTTAATTGCAAATACAATTTAATTTAACTGTTGAATTAATTAATTTGTGTTTGCTTAAACATCACATTGTTATTATGATTGTCTTAGCTGTAAAATTCTATCAAAGAGACTAGAAAGAATATAGTTATGAATCATGCAATATATCTTTAAGTATTTTCAACTCATCCACAGGTTCTACTCTTCACCACAATGGTGACCTAACAAATTTTGATGAAACAGAAACCTTTAAATCCCAACATAGCACAAGATAGAAGACCGAGAAGACTGAAGATGTAGTTCTTCTTTTTTTTATCTTGTTTATGTTTAGTTTCATAATAAAAACATTTGTAAAGCATGCTGGGAACTTTAGAAATCTGTTTCTATTTAGTCAGTTTAGGTCTTAATACAGTATTTCTTAGTTACATAACTTGCTTCTATTAAGCACAATAGACTTTTTTTTAAAAAAAATGGGTGACATTAATATCAGCTTTTAGTTTTACAGTGGAATTTTTGCCAAGAAACAATTTGTAATATAAAGCATTAATTGATATAATTCTTGACCATTCTTTGTGCGCAACTGTGCATCATTTTGATAAACTAAAGGAACAAAAACATGACACAACCCATGGAAATCCCCCCAAAAGTATTTTCTTCAATGAGCTGCATGTCTCTGAAACTGAACAAATAATCAAAATGAGCTGTTGTTGCGCTGGACACAACAGGTTTATCTACCTCAGTGAAGAAAGTAAATGTACTGTATTTGGTGATCCATTTCAGTATATCTGGATTTATCACATATTGTTTGCTGTGTCTGGGGAAGTGCATTAATGTGTAGTCATGCACATAGAAACACAATCAAGGTCAGAAGTTTCATTAAATTATCCATTCATCATTGAGGAAGCAGAGATCCGGGATGCAGGGGTGGACTCACTCAACACCCAAGCTGAAGTCACTAAGGTAGTCTGCAAGCTCTGCAGTGGCAAAGCAGCAGGGGTGGATGAGATACACTCTCTGTACCTCAAGTCTCTGGATGTTGGGGGGATGTCTTGGCTGACATACCTCTAGAGTACAACATCATGTGGCGGTCGGGGACAGTACTTCTTAACTGGACAACTGGCATAATGGTTTCCATTTTCAAGAAGGGGGGCCAGAGAGTTTCTTGCAACCAGATCACACTCCCCAGCCTCCCTGCCAAGCCTATACCAGTATACTAAGAGAAGGATCAATGGAACAATGCAGGTTCGTCCAGGCTGCGGAACACTGGACAAGCTCTGTAACCTCACTAGGATGCAAGAGGGTTCATGGGAGTATGCCCAACCAGTCCACATGTGTTTTGTGGACCTAAAGAAGGGATTTGACGTGTCCCTCGTGGTACTCTCTGGGGGTGCTCTGAAAATGGGGTTGGAGGGGTCTGTAAAAGACTGTCTGGGGTCTGCATGATTATAGAAGGTGTTTGGTTGGCAAAAAGTTAGACTTATTCCTGGTGCATGTTGGACTCCTGCAGGACTGATCTTTGTCATCGGTTCTAGTCTTTATTTTTATAGACAGAATTTCTAGGGACTATGTCTTGGGCCGAAGGGAGTCTGGTTTAGGGCCTACTGCTGTTTTCACATGATGTTGTCCTGTTGGCTACATTAAACAAGAACCTTCAGCATATACTGGAAGGTTTAAGGGCTCGTCTGAAAGAAGGTGGCCTGCCATCTCCAGGTTGGAGGAGAGTCCTTACCCCAGATGTAGGAGTTTATGTATCTTGGTTTTGTTCACGAATGAAGGAAGGATGGAATGTGAGATTGACTGGCAGATTGGGTCTTGACCAAAAGGACAAGCTCTTCGATACAAGTGTCCCAAATAACATAAGTGGTCAAATTAAGTTCTGGCCCAGTGACTTGACCTTGGATAAGTGGCAAAAAATTAGTTGATAATAAAAAAAAATGATCAAGAATCATCCCTTCTTTAATATCATTTGCCTTTGTTGGGCCAGATGGATTGGCTAACATACTTTTAAGGTTTTAATAAACAGTAAAGCAGTTTTGTTAATTAAAAAAAGTCAAATATCATGTGAAACTATTTTTTAAAAAGTTTATTGAAAAGAATGTTCTTTTAAATACTTTTTAGAATAATTTATTAGATCAATAAATTCACAGATCAATGTATGAGCATCATCTGTACTGTTTTGCATATTGAAAGCATTAAACTTAACTTAAAGTAAGCGTACTATATGATTAAAAACCTTTTTTTGCAGAAGAGAGCAATATCCTTCAGAACTTCAACAGGACTCTGTTAAAACTAGGACTATTTCTTAAAAACAGTTTATATTATTTGAAAAATAACCACCTATATCAATATCAATAACCACAAAACCACCTTCTGGGTGGTTTTGACAAAGCACTGGAAGAACACATTCTCTTCTCCGTATGCACCAGACACATTTTTATCAACACTCCATATTTTTGGAAAACATTGTGATTTACACAGCTGTAAGGAATTGACGAAAGAGTATAACAGCATATTCTAAACTAACTTTGACTTGTCAAGTTTATTGCTGTCTCTCTGATTTGAAGTGCTTTTTTATCATCACTTGTAAGTAACTTTAATGACAGCAAAGTTCGATAAGTCAATAAATACATGACAACAAAATACACACAAAAAATAATAATTACAATAAACTAAGCATGTAAGTATTTGTTCATGCTGGCCTGTTTACTGATGGTCATCTAGAAACACACTATCGAGCACTGAAAGTCAATATCTCTTCATGTGTGTTTAATTTACTTGCACTATAGCAACTATATATTGTAAACACTACAGTATACTATAAGTCACTGTGTACAAAAGCATCTACGAAATGACTGAGTCAATTCTTTGTTATATAATCTTAAATGTTTTTTACAGGACCATCAGAGTTTGACAGTCTGTTGATGTTAGAATGAATGTTAAAGACAGTGTATTTAGGAGTATGTTACCTGGGGTTAGTGTAGCGCACAATTAAAACACTCACTAATGCCACTTGCTATATAAAAAAGACTTTAAGCACTTGACAAACAGCACTTTCTAGTCCACGGATGCAGATCCTTCTTCTAAATGCTTTAGTTAATCCCGTTAGACAGGTTCCTCTGTATAAAAAATCATCAGTCAAAATGGGACGCTAACTCCACCCTCAGCAGAAATCAACAACATATTAGTGGATTGTTACTGTCCATCGGCAAATATAATTCATATTTATATTTACTAGAAATTTACTACAATATTCAACTTCACTGCAAAAAAAATGCTTTTCTAACTTTTCTAAGATTTTTTTTGTCTACTTTCTAGTCCAAATATCAAACAAAAATAAATCAAGAAGTATTTTAGACAAGTAAAACAAATTGTTTTATTTAAGAAATCATGAGTCAAAATTTCCTTAAGTAAAATAATCAGCCAATGTGGTGAGTAAAATAAACTTATGTGAAAATGAAAAACAAAATTATTTTACTCTGGCAGATTATTTTGCTTGTTTTAAAGTAAAAAACTCCCTTCATTATTTTTTAAAACAAGACAATATGTTTTACTTGTCAAGAAAAGGCTTTTTGAGTTAATCATTTTTAGATATTTGGACTAGAAGCAAGACAAAAACTCTAAGAAACACTTTGGTTTGCAGTGTATGCATTTTGCAAATCGTTCTTGTTTCTACTTAATCCTCAGTAACACATTGTAGTGAAAAATACCTAAACTAAATGCTATATTTAAGATACTTGTCATTTTCACTCACTAAACCTTCCAGCTCATAATTTAAAAAAGCTGTAATAAACGTCTCCAACCCTTTAACAGTCATTGTTACCGCCTCGTTGTCCTTTTTTCCATAGGTTATCATTATCATATCATAATATTTATCAGAGTTGTGTCAGTATATTATTCAATCCAAAATGTGGGCCAAAACATTTTTTAAGGAGTACACCTTAAAGAGCTAATCACCAAACAGGGTCAAAACAAAGTATTGGGTAATGGCATGTGAACCTCAATCAATTTTTGACAAATCTTCACAAAAGGAAAAAAACAGGATTGGTGGACTAGCTTAGTTATCTAAGCATAAGGTTTTGAGGGAAAACTCATTAAGAAGTGCTTTTGCATATCATAATAGGAAAAGATTTAAGTTATTTCAAACCTTTTTTATTTATTTATATCATGACTTTATGCTTTATGACTTTTTTGCATTTTCGTCTGTGACCTAAAATTAACATTATTTGTACAGCTATGAAAAAAATTTTAACTTACCACTTAGAGACAACTTCTCAGGAATTTATGGTGTGTAGGTCTTAGTAAAAAAATATTATTATTATTATTATTTTATTATTAAAAATACTGTAATTTAATGCTTTTTTTCTTTCAAAAAATTTTGGTCTTTTCTTGTGATTAAAATTCTGGGGTATTCCACAAAAATAATCTTAGTACTTGGTATTGTGTTAGAATAAAACAAACTATTTCTTATTTTTATTTCAAACATGGCTCTAATACCAGTAGTTTACAGAATAAAATAGTTGTTTTAGAATAATGAAATAAATTAGACTATTACTATCAAACAAATATTACACTATATGATTATAGCATAACATTATATCTGTTGAGCAAACACACTTAAATCATACGGAGATAATAATAATACAATAATATAATAATGTCATGCAGTGCAAGTTGTCGCACATCTAATTTTTAAAAATATATATACAGTTAACAAAGTTAATATATATAGTAGTTTATGTTTTGCAGTAATGTTTGGGCCCAAACAATAGTATTGTATTTAGTAACGTTAACATGAATCATGAATAGTTTTACTTTTGCTTTACAACTGTTCATTTGTGTAAAATCACAACTAACTGGTGCAACAACTCCATACAATCTTCTTAAACTATGAAGTACCTAAGATTAAGAAATTTGGTTAAGATGAACAGCAAGCATTTTTTTTTCAGCAACATTATAAAAATTCAGAGATTGTTCAGGGACATGAAATTAACCATTTGGCAATTAAAGTAATACTTACTGTAGTAGTTTCCATGCACAAACCCGAACCAAATATTAATTGTGTACACATTAATGCACATAAAATCATGTTGTCTATTTTTTTTTCATCCACAAATGTCTTAAACAAAATGAAACATTTCACTTCAAAATTTTAGTTTTTTTCTTTTTTCAAAAACATTTCTGTTATATTATATTACTCAATAAATTCCACAAAGGAAAACTTACCTGCTGCATCCTCTCAGATCTGTTGCTCTGCAAGTGTCTCTCATGCTCTGAACTCTCAGCTCACCTGTACAGTGCAAATATTCAATGAGTCCAACAATCAAACAAACTCTGGAGCTGGAAAGCTGGACAACTGCTGACATGCCTCACTGCCAAAACAAACAGGGAATGTACAGGACCAGATCCCAACTTCCTTCTCAACTGTAAACTAGCAAATGTCTAAAACTGAGAATTAAAACTGATAAAGCTAAACTGTGCCAAAAGCTTGTCTGCTTTTTGATAGAGGTGGGCTGGCTACTGTAAATAACACTCAGTTACCTGTAAAAGTATAGTGTCAAAAAAGAAATTAAAGAGATAGTTCACCCAAAAATTAACATTGTGTCATAATTTACTCTCCCTCAAGTGGTTCCAAACCTTTATACGTTTCTTTCTTCTGTTAAACACAAAATAGGAAAGTTGGAAACCTGTAACCATTGACTTTTACAGTATTTTTTCCTAGTATGAAAGTCAATGGTTACAGTTGAGCCCCATGATAGTGGCTATCTCGAAAGTGTGTTAGCGTTGGCACCTTAGAATTAAGGCTACTTAGCGATGCCTCTGAATAAACATTTGTTTGGATAACATTTAATTTATTCCAACTAATGAATTTATTTGTGTCTGTGCATATTTATTAGTAAATCAAACACAGAAATAAAGCGGCATGTTAATGTTTCTCTCGTTTGTACAATATTTGGATGTTGGTTTTCTTCTCACTACCACTAGATGTCAGCAGAGACTTTTTATGTATTGACTTGTTGGGAAAGTAGAAGTGTTGGAGAAATAACTCCACTTCTCAATTTTTGCAAGGATGCTGGCCAAATCGGTTAAATCAGATAATAATAATAATAATAATAATAATAATAATAATAATAATAATGAAAGATCTGATTAAATTATATTAATTTATTTAATAAAAATATGAATTGTAAAGCATTAAAAACTAAATAAATTAATTTAATTTAGATAAATAGATAATTTAATTTTAGGTAAATAAAATAAATGAAGTTACTTGAAAAAAAAACATTCCTAGAGTTGGGTTGCGGCTGGAAAGGCATCTGCATGTGCTGGTTAAGTTGATGGTTCATTCCGCTATGGCGAACCCTGGTTAATATAGGGGCTTTAAGCCAAAAAGAAAATGAATGAATGAATGAATGAATGAATGAATGAATGAATGAATGAATGAATGAATGAATGAATGAATGAACGAATGAATGAATGAACGAACGAACTTGGAAAAACAAACAGATAGCTGATGATTATAAAAGAAAATGACGCAAGACTATGCCTCAGAAAAGTCGTGAAAATGTGTTTCAAATTAAACCCATTTTAAATATTTAGTCATCAGAAGAAAACAGTAAATAAACACACTGAGAAAATAAGGAGCGTCACGACTTTTATTTTGAAAATTGGCAGTTTTTTGCGTCCGGAAGCTGTAAGCCTTCAGACTGCAACGATGGCAGCATCTGCTGATGTACACGTCCGAATATGTGAACAAGAAATAATCAAGTTTGATTTAGAATTAAAAGCTCTTGTTCAGGTATGAATCAAACTCTATTTCTAAAGCTTAAACCTGACGACAGTTTCATATTAGTGCGTTTAGGCACAATATTTTTTATAAAATCTTGAAAATGTTGAATAAATAAATTACAAATAGAATGAATGAATTGGATTTTTACGTTATCAAGTTAACCAAATCATTTTATTGTTATGTTGACTTAACATGTAACATATTATACAATATAACTTGTTCTGAATACTAGTCTTATATTGTAAATAATGATAATGTTTGTTAAATGTTTTTCTCCTGTGTCCAGCATTATCACTAATGAATTAAAAACATTGCAGGATGTCAATGAATGCACAGGACCACAAAGCAAATTGACAGATTTAAATCTTATAGTGAAAGAGAAATTCAATAAGCTAAGACAGCGCATCCAGGTGAGAAACATTATGTGTAAATGGTTTGTTTATTAAACAAATTCTGAATTTAAAACAATTCAATCCCGTCTTTTTCTAAACAGGACCTGGAACAGATGAGCAAAGAACAGGACAAGGAGTCTGACAAGCTTATGCTTCTCTTAAAAGTTGAAGGACATCGAAAACAGATGCTGAGGTAAATCTGATGAGTAAAAAGCCCTGAAATCACAGCTTACTCTGAATGCTTTTAATGTAAGAGAACAGTACAACGTTTAAAAATACAAAAGTTCTGTTTAACAGGAAGGATGGGTGTTTGTTTGTCTTAAATGAAGAGTGTGTTTTTTCTTGCAGTAATCAGACAGCATGGAGGAAAGCTAATCTTGCCTGTAAACTGTCCATTGATAAGCTGGAGAAGGAAGATTTATTAAATTCTGAGGATATGTCGGTGAGACACAGGTGAGTGTATACAAATGCAAAATCTTCACTAATCATGTTTTTAACCTTTACCTCTGATCACCTGAATTCTCTTTCCATCTGATCAGAAAGATGACAAAAGAGAGCCTGGCTCAGACCTCCAGTGACATAACAGAAAGTCTGATGAGCATCAGCCGGATGATGTCACAGCAGGTCCAGCAGAGCGAGGAGACTATGGGCACATTAGGTGAGTTTATGCCAAAGGAGTAAGTTACCAAAAACTAAAAATTCTATTATTTAATCACTCTTCACTTGTTTTAAACATGTTTGAAACATTGTTTTTTTAATTCTGTTAAACACAAAAAAAGATATTTTGAAGAAAGCTGGAAACCTGAAACCATTGCACTTCCATTGAATTACTTTTTACGACGATGAGTGTTACCTGTTCCTAACATTCTTCAAAATATCTTTTTATGTGTTAAACAGAATAAAAAAACTTATAAAGGTTTGGAACAAGTGAACGGTGTGTAAATTTACATTAATTTACATTTTCTAATTTTCGAGAGGCTCAAATGTATCTCAGGAAACACTTCTGAGGCTGCATAACAGTTTCATAATTTACAACAAAATTGAGAGAGCATTGGGCAAAACGAGATCAACATTTACTCATTTCCAATGCAAATTTTACTTTATAAACTCAAAAGTCAAAAGTTGGTCAAAGATACTTTCACACAAACTGTTTGCCATGAAGGTTTTGATTGGTGCCTTTTACTAAATACCTTGGCACAATTATTGACTCTAAACTCTCCTTTGATGAAAATTGTGCAGCCGTGTGTAATGTTAATGTTTTATATCTTTGTCCATTTGTTGTGGTCACTATGTTTGTATTTATGAAATGAGGACTCTTGACTGCAAACCAAATCTACCTTCGGGTATAAATAAAGTAACATAAGCTACATTACATGGCATTATGTCACACACTAGAATAAAGCAAAAATTAAAAGACAGGATCTCAGCATCTTGGTAGCTCCTCTCTCAGAAAACAAAAATGTAAATATTAAAATTGTAAATGACTTTGCAAAAAAAAAACATCTAAATGCTGCCATTTAAGATCAAATCTGCTGTCTGCTGCTTTCATATCAAGATTTCTTAATATACTCATTCTTTATAAAGTAATCGGCCTGATATTGGTTATTAGTATCAACCCAAATATCCATACCAGTGCATTCCAAGTTACGTTTATTTGCTGAATGATGTTTTTAGTTTTTGATCATCCCACAGTAGCCTCTTTTTCTATTTAAGCCCTGTCTGAATGCTGAGAAACTAATGTGTTCCTGTTTGTTCCACACCTTTAGCAACATCTTCCAGGACTGTTCTGGAAACTCATGAAGAGTTTAAAGCCATGACAGGAACTATACAGCTGGGCAGAAAGCTCATCATTAAATACAACCGACGGGAACTTACAGATAAGCTGCTTATTTTCCTCGCTCTTGCTCTCTTCCTAGCTACAGTCCTCTATATTCTGAAGAAAAGACTTTTTCCTTTCTTTTGAGTAAATTAACCAAAATATAGGCTTATAGGAAATGACTGAAAGATAAGTGTTCTTAAAAAGAGGAAGAGAGATGCACATACAGACTGTATAATCTTTTCACTTTTTTTGTGAAACTCCGATCAACATATCAATATGGATGGGTATGGATTATGTCGGTGTTAAGTTATTTTGTACAAAAATACCATCAAATATTTATGACAATATTATTGTTAAAGGAGCTGTATGTAAGAATCTGAATGTATCATTCATTCATTCATTCATTCATTTTCTTTTCGGCTTAGTCCCTTTATTAATCAGGGGTCGCCACAGCAGAATGAACCGCCCACTTATCCAGCATATGTTTTACGCAGTGGATGCCCTTCCAACCGCAACCCAACACTGAGAAACATCCACACACTCTAGCACACACTTGAATACACTATGGCCAATTTAGCTAATTCAATTCACCTGTACCGCATGTAGACTGTGGGGGGAACCAGAGCACTCAGAGGAAACTCTTGTAAACACAGGGAGAACATGCAAACTCCACACAGAAATGCCAACTGATTGTGCTACCCACTGCACAACTGTGATGCCCCTACGTATGTATTAGTAGATTTTATTTAAAATATGCAATAATGTTATTCCTTTATTCACTAATTTTCCTTCAGCTTAGGCTCTTTATTTTATTAGGCTTTGCGACAGCAAAATGACCCGCCAACTTATCCAGCATATGTTGCACGCAGTGAATGCTCTTCTAGACCTTTTTTTTTACCTAGTTTGTTCATGGAAAATTCAAAAGATAGTGACGTTTATGTGTGCTCCAATTTTGCTATTTGAATACAATGCAATGTCAATGTGTAGTGCAAAGAAAGGGATTCACAGATCCCTCACAGAGCCTCACAGATCTAAAATGTTGATTTTTTTTTTTTTAGCGATTTTTTTTGTTTGCTAAAAGTATATCAATGCAAAGGTATTGATACCTTTAACTTATAATCAAGAAACAAAAAAGAACCTTCCTGCAAGTATGTTGTGTACATTATTAATTACGAGCGTTATGTGTACACGAGTATAGAATTAGCTGTCTGTAGTTGACTAAACGGCCAGCGGTGTCGCTACTGGCTAAAAGCACATTTGTGAACTATACATTTTTAGCCCCTTTAAGACTTATATTAAGCATTATAATGCATTATTGTTGCTGGAATATTTATTAAACAAAACTGTTTTGTTGTTAGTCCTGTCACAGCAGAAATGTTTGCAAAAAATTGCAATAAAATTATTTTAAAAGAACATCAGATTTTGAGGAGCCTTAATTTTTACATCAAAGTTTGTTTTAACTTTTTTTGATTAGTAAAACATCTAGAAAGTGGTCATTTAATTATGCAACATGATTTGTTTATACATTATGTTAGTTAGAGATTCAGAATCCTGACATGGTTTCAAATATTTGATAAATTTTAAAAACACCAATCTTTCAGAATATTTTTATGTTTTAAGATATGATGTGCTCTCAAAAGGTGCAGTTAAATGATTGATAAAACAGAAAAATATTAATATTATATGTAGTTTCTATTTAAAATTACTTTAGCTCCAGTAAGTCCTGAGAAACAATATTTTCAAGTGGTCTCTTAATTGATTTCATCGCTTCATATGCATTTAATTTTAGTATATGTATTTTTATTTATTGTTATCAATATTGAAAAAAAGTAGTTTTTTTATCATACTTTAAAAATGAACATCATTTACAAAACATTTTAAATTCCTTTATAACAATATGAAAGTTTGATTCTGGCTTGATAAATTAAATACATCTTTGCTGAATTAATATATTATTTTTCTCTTTACAAATAAATTCTATTTATGATATGGATAAAAACAAATTAAGACATATTCATGAAACACATCATGTTTTATTTATTTGTTACTGCAATTATAATTATTATTCAACAAGTCTTATTTCATGGTTATACTACTGATCATGGTATTGATGTTGATTCTAAAAGTTGTTCAGTTTCTCCAGCTGAACCCAAAGCTATGAACTGCCGGGTGTCAATTGAACACCTACTGTATGACAGGCAATTTAGGTGAGTTAAACTCGCATCCTGCACAGTGATGAAGCAGCAGCTGCTATGTCAGGCAGGGCACAACAGGAGTATCACAGAGGGGGGAAAAGCTCAGAAAAGCTCAGAGCTCCGCTGATAAAGAGGCATGCAACCCTGTCTTTCCTCCGATAAGACCCGGAAAAGCTGATTATTCCATCCCTGGTCTCTCTCCCTCTCCCTCTCTCTGTCATTCTCCTTCCATTGTGGCCAGAGGACAAGGTCTGTTATTTTTAGAGATGTGCGTCCATGTTATCTGACTTGTTCTTTTCAACGCCTCTGAAGAGTGGGCCACTATTGTAACTGTGTGACCTTTCTCTTTACCTCTCGGTGGCCCCATATTTGACTCAAAATGACACTCATTTCCACAGATGCATATATTTGTGCTGTAAGTAGACACTGGCTATAGTAGAGACTTTGGGAATTGTGTTTGCTGATATGTGTGGAGAGGCTAGAGAGATGCCCAAGGACAGTCTATTACTCATTTTAAGTGGCAGCAAATGTGGATCACCTTCCCTCCTCCATCCCAGTCTTTACATGCAGGGCCGTGCACTCTTACCTCTCTATGTCAAGCAAATTGTGCCATTCTGCACACTAAGCAGAGCACTTTTGTGTTGTCAATCAATGGTGACACCAGCCTTTACAAGAATAGCATACACAAACGGCCATTTGTGTATTTGGGTGTCTGTGTGTTGACAAAAATGTCTTGTGGGTGCATGGGGTATTATGAGTTTAGCTTTGAAATTAATCTGAGCTGCTGGTGAACTGTAAATGATTGCAAATCCACTAAATAGGGTTAAAACGTTTTTTTTTTGTTTTTTTTTGAACGACCTGTTAAATCAAATAATAGATATAAATTGTAATACACTAAAAATGACTTTTGTTGTTTACTAAACTACTTATTTAAAACAATACAATTGTTGAGGCTTTGGTGTCAACTTAATTGTTTATGTTTAAATTTTAAATTGTTACCTAATTTATTTGTGTTGTAATACAAATCGATCATGTAGAACCCAGCATTTTTTGGCAGTGTATAACCTATTGCAAACACGAATGAATGCCATCTGCACTCAAAAATATGGCTTTTTGCTGCTTGTTCAAGTTACGCATTTAAAATGAGTTGAAACAACTAAATTCTACTAAATGTTTTTTACTTACATTTTTATGTTCAATTTACTTACATTTTTAAAAATTATTAAATTTACTTAATTTGTGTTAAGAAAACATAAAGAAATTGTGTGCAATCCATAGCATTTTTACTGTGTGTGCATTAATCAAGAGCGTGTGTACACAAGTTTAGGCACAATTAGCTGTCTGTTGTTCAATAAACGGCCAGCGGTGTCGCTACTGGCTAACAGCACATTTCTGAATTCCACATTTTAGCCCTTTTAATTATAATGATAAAGAATTATAGATTAAGCATTACTGTTGCTGGAATAATTATTCGACAAAATGGTTTTGTTGTTAGTCCCGTCGAAGCAGAAATGTTGTAAAAAATTGCAATAAAATTATTTTAAAAGAACATTAGATTTTGAGGTGCCTGAAGTTTTGGATCAGTTTATCAAGTGTTTCATTAGTGAAACATCTAGAAAATGCTCACAACATTATTTTTATACATGATGTTTTTTATAGATTCAAAAACCTGACATGGTTTCAATTGTCAGATCAGTTTGCATTGGATTTGTGTTGAGAAAACATGAATGAATGTGCAACCCAGCATATTTTAACAGTGTGAAGTATAGCAATTTGCGATTTTTATAGACGTTTATAGCACAGATGTTACACTGAGTATCACCATTCCATCCTGGGTCCTTCTTGATTTTAAACATTTCGCAAATATAGTTTGAGTTAAGCCTGTATAGAAATTCACATTCAATAAATAAACAGTCAAAATAAAAAAAAACTGTGAAAATTAGTTAAAGGCGCCTATAGACTTGCACTGCGTTTACCAAACTTACGACAAGAATAAACATGATTTATAAATCATATTTATGCTACAATACCCGTGTTTTAAAACTTTGCTCTCATTTCAGATAAAGCAGTTATAAATTATATAATGAAATAAAGTTAAGGGAATAAAAAAGAATAATTAATCACATTTCGCAAAACTGTTAACTATTATTATTATTATTATTAATATTATTATTATTATTATGTGTGTCAGTTTTATGAATGTGATTCATAAAAAGACGAATAAAAATACTTAACTTGTTTAGCCTTTCTAAATGTGGATATGCCATTGTTGTTGTGTTGTTTTATTTGTTATATTTAATAAACCAGATAATCATTGCATACGTTCTAGAAGATCCTTTATTGTTTTTCTTCAACAAATGTACATATCAAACTTACACTGGCAAAGCCTATTTTAACAAAAGGTAAAGTCGGAGCCGTGTTCGTGCTGTAGCTCACTTTCCGCACAAAGGAAAAAATAAGTTAAAAAATCCTTGATGCACTGTGGTTATCAATAATACAGGTCTTTATTAAGCAACGTTTACAAAAAAATTAACTGACCAAGAAAAAAAAGAACTCAAGAAAGAAAGAAAGAAAGAAAGAAAGAAAGAACCTGGTAATTTCGCAAGAGATTTAAGCACAGGCCTTATCATACATTTGGTGAAAATATAAATATTCTGCCTACATTTTCCACGTGCTGTTAATCTCATAATTGAACTCAAGTGCAAGCAAATTATTCAGACAGTTTTTGAAAGAAATGATGCGCACGCATAAACATTAAAATGAACGTCTCTTGGAGAGAAAAAAAAAACATCCCAGCCAAACCATATCTCAAGAATCATTAATATTCATCATCAAAAATATCATTAGAATGTAAATGTCCACAGAAAGATGAATGCTGTCGGTAAATGTAGTTTTGTTCACCAAGCTCTGATGCCATGTAGTGAAGGAACACTGCTGGATTGAAATGAAGCCTGGACGTTATTTAGATCCCCAACACCAAAGTTCATGTAGTTGCTGTTGGACTGTGAAGGTTGGATGCTGGACATGCTCGACGGATAGCTGCATGAGTAGTTCGAGTTGCCTGGACTCGGGAAATTACTAAACGCAGGGTAGGTGTTGTAGGTGAAATGATTGATTCCCACATTGTATGAGGTGTTGTAAGTGGACGTGTCTCCCAGACACGGTTTACCATCCCGAACCAAAACTGGCACAGAGATGCGTCTCGGAGGCGCGATGCCCACCATCTCCAGGGTCTGATCCTGACGCTGCCTCTTGCACTTGTATCGTCTGTTCTGGAACCAGATCTTCACCTGTGTGGA